CGAATGAGCGACACATCTGAAGCTCTGAAAATTTAAAGAGCGCCACAGTGCTCAAACAAGTGAATACGGTAGACAAAGAAAAAGTGGTCAGGCTCGTATATTGCCAGTCGTTGACCATTGACCAGCTGTTAATTGCTGCGCTAGACAGATAAGTCTGATTTAACCCATTGAGCACCAGCACCCTCCCCTTCAGTAAAATCATCTGGCATTTATAGATGGATGTGTACTTACGGTCACCAAAATTGTCAGTTCCTCATTTTGGGAAATGCTTCTAGATTTTTAAATTTTCAGCCGAAGTGTGCCCCACCCAATCCCAAACAAAACTACAAATTAACAAAACTATAAATTTAATAAAGCATATATTCATTAAACATTATTTAAACACGCATAATGGACAACTTACGCTGTTATTTTCTTGTTGAAAATCTTGAAACCATGGGATTGCAGCAGCATCATCACATCAACAGATATTTGGTTTGAATTCTCCCGCCACAAATTTAAATATTTACGCAACGCCTTTGGCGTTAGGCAGCCCCATTTATATAACATAACTTCTTGGAGATGTTTTATATTAATTTCGTTCACAATTTTGACTGCTAGACGCCCAAAAATCCACAGTAAAAAACAGTGAATATTTTTTTGTAAATTCGATACTTCTGTAAAAATTTTAAAACGTGGCCACAGAATAAAGATCACGTGGCCACTGGCCAGTGTTTCCACCTTAAATTCCATTATATTAACATTTTCCTTCTTCTAACCCGTTCGCAGGTTAGGTGCTGAGTGTCTCGGATTGAAAAGTAATAGATGTAGGAAAAATTTTGATAAATTTACGAAAATATTACTGAAAAATTTTACAAACAACTTAGGGTAAATTATTTCGAAAGTTAGTGAAAAATGCTATGTCCGGAAATATTTTTACCCCCCCCCCCGAGGGTAAAATATCCCCCCCCCTTGGTCGGGCAAAGCAAGCTCACACCCCTCACCCCAGCCGTAATACCGAAGTTTCGCCCCAGAGCGATAATGAGAAAGCTTTGGACTGATAGGGTGCAACTACCTGAAAAATACAAGATCTTCTTCTTATATTTTCAGGTTAGTTGCATCCCGAAGCCTATCATCTGAAGCTAGCAGGCGCTTGTATCTGGGCGGCGATGAGAAATAAACTAGTAAATCGAAAAGGCTAGCTATAAAGGCTACATCGTTTAATACAATATTTACAAGTTTAAGCTGTCGTTTATATTTTTCGTAAAATACGATTGGTTTCAAGGTGCCTGAATAACGTAACAGTGCAAAATGTTACTTTGGGAACAGGACACTAGCCAGCTCCAAGTCGAAAATAGAGATCATCAGATTCGATTCCAAATCTAAACCTCTCTGGACTGCAAGGAGAACGTCAGATTACCGAGGGGGACTGGGTTAAAAACTGTGTTTGTATCAGTTTGTGGTAAGTTAAGATTTTGAAAGTTTTTTGCTTCCTTGCAAAATGCCACCGAAGTGATACCATTCCGTGTTGATAAAAACATCGCTCGCTCACTATTAATCAATCTCAAACCTCGTCAATGAAACGATCAACCCAGCTTGTACTCCTGCAGTATTTTATAATGGTGACTATAGTAAAATCCCGCGTATGAGAACCTACTATTATTAGAACCTTTTTCAAATTTCAAACTGAATTCGGTTTCTGATAACAATAGCAGGTATCAGGCTGTAGGTTCTTACTCGGCTAGGTTCTTATACGCGGGATTTTACTGCGTCAAATTCGATTTCAAAGCTACATAGTCTATTCTACATATAAACCCCCATTCTATTTACTAAACGAATATTCTCGGTTTGTAAAAGTGTCATCGTTCGTGCTTCTGTTTTCGTCAAATGAAATCGAAGGAGGTTGAGGATAGCTCTCTACTTCGGGTTTATCGTTTGCGAAAGAAAAGACAACACTAAATGCTCGAAGATAATGAGAAATGTTCAAAGAACTTTGAGGCTGTTCCGTTTCTTCTTTGTACTCCAGTAACGTCCTTGAGCGAACTAAAACGTAAGCAAAGTTTGAATTAGCAAAACATATCTCCATTTTTGCCTGTCGCATAGAATGGTAACGTAATCAGTCTTCCAATGAACCTACCAGACATTGTGGAATATGCATCGGCGACGGTGTTTGTTTTCGCTGAAGATGAAGTGATATTTTGAAATGGAAATGCGACCAACGCGAAAGCCAGGAACAACACCAAAATACAAGTGCTTGTCTGTTTTTTACTTTGGTTTGAAGATGAGACAAGTTCTTGTAGACTTTTAAGTTGATCCAAGAGAGTTTTGTTCTGTTCTTCAAGATTATCGATCTTCTTTTGTAGAAATCTGTTTTGGTCCGTGCAGTTCTTCACTCTGATAAGAACAATGACATCATTTTGTACAGGCTAAACCAGTGTATGAGACTAATAGCACTACATACGATCGGCAGTACATACGGTCGTTTAAACAATTTCACAATACCTGGACTCAAGGCCATCAATATATTCTTTTTTCTTTCTTCGGCTTTCCTGAGCTGAAACCTGACAGAAAGGCACAACTGATGATGCATTCTCGTTTGCTTATACTTATAAAGGCATTAAAGCCATCTTTAAACTTCAACAGACAACAGTTTTTTTAAGAAAAAAAGACGTTTTCGCTGAAAAACTCCACTTACAAAAATCATTTAACAAAATAAAGCTTGCACAAAGAATAGCAACACTAAAATAGTAACCCTTTAGTTGGCATTGCAATGCATCGCCAGACAATACACATGATTTATTTTTTCTCTAACACCATGCATGCATGCAATCCCGATGTGTGTACCCAAGCCAAGGAGTGCAAATACTACCATTTACCTTGTTTTTTATTTTTCTTCGAACTTTCTTCAACAACTTCTCTTCGTTCTGTTAAAAATGACAGTATGTAACATTGTATATACAACATTCATGAATGAGATCTTTTATACAATGCTACACGGTGTTGAGCTAAGTCAAGTCAGAGGCGGACAAAGTACTGGGTTCCCAAAAGAAAGAAATTTTCAGACATTTTTTTATGTTTGATAACTGAAAATTAGACTGACTTTGAAGTCCTAACTCGATACCTAAACTACAGTGGAACAGTTTCATAAAAAATATGCATATAAAAATATATATAGCCTGCAGTGAGAAATTTGTTTTTAATCATGTAAGCCTGTCACTACTATGACTACTTCAGGATTTTACACCTTATCAGTCTTAAAGACATATTACTTCACACGACTACACTATAAGACAGTCACAAACGATAATTTTCTTATTTTCCCCTACTTATTGTAATATTTTGCAGGAAATTTTGAACCCTAAACCCAAGTTAACATTTTCCACCTCTGAGCCGAAAATAAAAGAAAATGAACTTACTTTTGTCAAAGCAACGTTTGTTGGTAAAAAGTGTCCTTCTTCTTCTAACATTTTCTTCTCTTCTTCACTGATAAGCAATTGTTCTTGCTGTTTAAACAAAACACTGATAAGTGAAGATCCAATGTAGGTAAAAACAAAAAAATCATTTGCTTCTAAAGACACTGCTAAATGAACATCCACTGCAATACCTTATCTCTTGTAGTTAGTTTTGGTGTTGTGTTTATGGCAGGTTTTATTTCTGTGATGATAATTGGTGTAATCTTTGCAGAGGCTTTAACAACGGCTACTGTTGATGGTGGATTTGAAACAGGTTTTACAACAGCTGTGACTGGTGCCTTTGAAGGTTCATCTGCTTTCTTTACTTCGTCCATGAGATCAACAAAACTTTCAAGATCCAGGACGCTGCTGTCCGCTTCAGGCATGTTTGTGTCATCCAGTTCTGGCAATTTCCCAAGAGCCTTCGAGTCCAGCCCATCCAAAAATGACAAGTCAATATCTGTAAAGCATTTTTTGAATTAATATCAATAAAAACCCATAATGCACTGTACCTGTTTTATTGTTCCACAAAAACAAAATGGCAGTGATTCCACATATTGGTGCAAAATTGTGAGGATTTGCTTTGTTTTATTATTTTACTGTGATAATTTTCATTTGTCAAAAACTGTCAAATATTACTGTCGTTCCAATTGAAGTGTTGCTCAAATATTGATTCAATACATTACCTCGGGCTGACCAATTCATTTCATCAAGTTCCTCGAGATATTCATACACTTCCTAGTATAATTACAAACTTCCTGTTGAATAGTTTGAATGCACCAATCACCTTTGTTGTTTGTGCAACTAACCAATCATAAATAGAAAGGAAGTGACCAGAAATGATCAAATATTTGGAATTGGCTCTTTCACAGGAAGTGTATGAATATCTCGAGGAACTTGATCAAATGAATTGGTCAGCCCGAGGTAATGTATTGAATCAATATTTGAGCAACACTTCAATTGGAACGACAGTAATAACCAATTTATTAATACTAGTATGAATCCAATATAACTGCATGCATTTACCCTACCATTTATATCACCAAAATTGTCAAAAAATCGCACAGGTGATGCTGGGGAACACTCCGATGACATGGTGTCTATTAAAAATTTGAAAAATATTTATAAATCAAGAAGTCCAATCCATAACTTTCTTGTGTAGGCACACAATTAGATGAATAATTTGGCCTTAGTGTCATAATGAGTGTTGGACCCTGATGTGGCCTACTTTGTTATTTTATTACCTAAATCAAAGTTATCCAGCGAAGGTTCTTCTGTAAAATCAATATCAAATCCACCAAATTCCAAGGGACTGAGTGCCATACCAGAATCAGATGAGGTGTCACTTGAGCTGGGTGATGTGATGCCTAACATCAAGTCTTTGTCATCAGGCGACGAGGGACTAATGTTCATGAGGGAGGTCAATATGTCATATGTATGATCATGATTCACTTTTGATGTCTAAAATACAGAATGACATTTATATGTCTTTCGCACGATTGATGGAAAGGAATGAACAGAACTATTTGTTCCTTATTAGGCGAGACTTTTTTTATTCATTGGTTTACGGATCCACCGACCGTAAATATTCAGAAAGTGAAAAATAAAAATAAAAAATTTGGATGTTAGTTAATTTTAGTTAATTTTAATTAATTTGGGGTTCTGACATGAAGTACACTTCAAGTGAACTTTGACTCTAGGTACTGCTGGCTCATGTTATCGTTGTTACAATCAATATGTAGAGTGCCAAGTTTTTTGCGGGGTTTTTTAAATTGACGTTAAAAATTTTTATAAAGATTATTAATTTCGGTTCACATTTATACTCAGTTCGTTTTGGTTTTTTTTAAATTTTTTTCCGACCTACCGACCTCTTATTTTTAAAGTCAAATCCGTAAACCAATAAATAAAAAAAGTCTCGCCTTAAAGAGGCTGTCAAGTCCATTCTGCTCATACGTTCTGCGCAGGCTTACATTCCAATGGTCGGGACCGGCAACCGTTGGAATGTTATTAATATTTCATATATTTTGAACTTTCTTGAATTGAATCTCTAGTCTGTATTCATTTACAAGCATAGCGAACCAGAAAGTGTTAAAAATTTAGTATAATATATATCTATTTATCTATATATAATATAAAATCATATTTTACAACTGTAGCACTGAGTTCAAAATGTAAACAAAGCGTTTGTTTACATTACGGACTTGACAGCCTCTTTAAGTCCCACCAAAAAAAATACAAAAAATACACTAAACATATAACAATGCATAAAATTACAATCACAATATAGCATGAACTATGATTATACATTCCTACATATTTATGAACAACAGTTTGTTTGCAACAAACTACACTTGCTACACAGAGTTTTCCACATTCTAGGTCTGTCTATATCAAAGACAGTGTTTCTGTAAACCTGGTAAGCTGCAATATACCCTAATACACCCTACTTTGTTATTTGTCAAAGCCAGATGATTTTTATGGTTGAATGGGTTTATAGTGGGTTGTTCAAGAAAAGTCTATGTAATTTGGTAATAACTAATAAGTATAATAAACGTACTATGTTTTAAATGTGGCTGTAATATATAATACAAGCTGCAATAATATATGCTACTTTAGTATGTAATTTCTTATTGTTTTAAAAGTTCCTTCAAATCTAGAATGATGGAACTTTCTCTAAGCCGCATTTTAGTAATTCTGTGTTTCAATAATTAGACCATAGGCTTGGTAAACAAAATTATTATATAACTTATTGAAATAACTTTGTTATAAAATAATTTTGTTTACTAAGCCTACCGTATAATTATTCAAACACAGAATTATTTAAATCGGGCGTGTTACTATGAAACAAATAAGCCAATACAAGAATGCATTTTAATAATTCCAAATTAAATTGGTATTTAAAATATTTTCATTTTTATATGCAAAGTCACACACAGGCGTTTCAAAACGAAAAGGGTAGACAAATATAAGAATATATATTATGTCACATTCACAACCCACGAAAATATGCAATTATTTCATGTTTTGCTGCAGAGAAATTTTACAATATATACAATGTATCTCAGTAGAAAACAATGGCTCTTTCAGTAGACTTTAGACTTTAGAACGACTTCATAATATTGAATTGCATATACTATCGTTTTTAAAAACATTTTGAAACAACACTTGAACACACAAAACAATTTAACATTTCAAGTGATAGCTCTGCACAAAATTAAATCATAAAAACAAAAAATATTCGGTGTAGAAAAGTATATAGTGTCAGTAGCATATGACAACAATTTGCTAGTTAATATGACATCGCACATTTTTGCCAAAACTTTCTGTCGAATTTTAAACGTTTTTATCGCAACTGCAAGCAAGATATAGTAATTAAAAAGCTCCTTACCTCAGCCATAATGTTTTTGAAGCGATATTTCTTGTATCTTTCTTGTTTTTCGCTTCAAAAGCCAGAACTGTTCGACACGCCGGTATATTCGTTTACGCAATTTTCTCGAATATCTGAAATTAATTTCATCATTATTGTTGTGAACCGCTGAGGAAAATGCGGCTCGCAATGCTTCATATAGAATATGACGTCATTGCTGGAGTCTGCCACCAGGCCAAGTTTGACGTGGCACTTCTTCTGTGGTTAATTTATTCAGGGAAAAACCCTCATTTGCGCAAATGTCTCAATTATAGAACAGATTTCTATTCATAGAGCCATAACAACGCAAATTGTATATCTGAAAATAAAAATGTGATGTTCATTTTATTTTATTAGTATGCAATATAATAGTAGTGTCATTAGCTTTATAAAAATCAGGACAAAGTTGCAAGATTCCTTAACTAATCATGTATAATTTTGACATCACATATAATTGTATAATTTATATAAATATGTATAGGGATACAAATAGTGCTGAGGTCCGAGACTGATAGATCAGATTACCAATGCACTCATAATGAAAGCATATTAGTACTCTTGTCTACATGAACCTCTGGTCAAATTAATTGCAAATCACACTTGCAATAATGTACAGGCATAATAAGCTATAGTGCATGTTTATTTCCCAAACCAGTTTGACATATTTTACAAATAGCCAATCACATGTGAGATTCAGATTTGGAACCACATCAAGTATTGAAGTGAGATTCACAATCAATTTGAGGAGAGGCCATTTAGTCTTTGCGTTTCATTTGCTTTGGCATTCTTTTGTCTCTCCGTTTTTTAAGTGCCTCTGATCTTAACTTAAACAAACATTATTTGTCTTTATTTTCATCTAAACTCTGAACAATTATCTTCTTTTCTTTCAACTTGTGATAGTCGCCCATTATCCTGGCCAGTTCTTCTTCTAACTGTACAATCTCGCATGATAAACGACATGCTGCCTTGAACTCCTTTTGACAATCCTTTAACGAGCTTGGCACCAGTACACCAAACCATTTCAATGGGTCCGTAGTCTTCTTTCTACTTGCAAATTCTGTTTCAATTTTGCCCTCTGGCCCTCCCCCCTCAGTTCCCCCTTGATGGCTTTTTGCAGCACCTCTTTGCCGAAGCCCAGGCCTTTCATTTTCCACCAAATCTTCCACTCCCTTGCATGTTTCATTTTTCGTTTTATCCCCATCAAATACAACTTCAAAACCTTTCAAAACTGTTTTAAGTTTGTTTTTGTCATCTTTACTTGAGCAGCTATCTCGTTCTGACACCAAAGTTGAGGCAGTCATATTCCTTGAATATTGCATTTCCCCAACCGCTTTATTTCCCATAGAATACCTAGCTTTGGACATTGAAAGAAAGCCATTCCTCATCGCATTTGTTAAATCGTTTCGGACCTCCTCCAAAGTTTCGAGTTTTTCGAAAAAATCCAGCAAAAGTTGGTCACGTTTTTCGTTCAAATTTTCTAAACTGTCGGCCATGTTTGTTCTCGTCGCAGTCTCCCACGTCCGTCGTGTCTGTTTGTCTGTCTGCCTGTTCGAGAAGTTCAATTCCTTCCCCCCTAAGCTCCCTCCCCCTGCCCCGGAATTTTGCATAGCCCTAGGTAAATTTTTGAAGGATTTGTAAGAACTTTTTGAGGGAACCAACTCACGAATGAAATTTTCGTCATTATTCTTGTCAATCCATTACTATTTTATATTATCATTCACTTTATAGTATTCTCAATTTTGATTGGTTAATTTACCTGCAAATAACTGCGTGCAAATAATAGTCTGAGCATGCGCATTTGTTAAAAACGTTGCTCAGCTACAAATAATAGTCTGAGCATGCGCATTGCCTTCAATTTTTGTAAACAATGGCGGCTCGCTTTGCTGAACTTTCGGAAAATGAGTTGTCTTGCTTACTTAAAGAAAAAAACGCGGAAAATAAAAAAGTGACTAAAACCGCAGTCAATGTCTTTCGCCAGCATTTAGAAGCAAGATAAATCAACGAAGACGATCTAGTTGGCTCAAAATAAACTCTTGCCAGTGTCCTTCGCAACTTTTTATGCAGAAGCAAGAAAGAGAGACGGCGAACTTATATAGTAAACGAAAGATAAAATTAAGCTTTATAAGTGAATGATAAAACAATTATTGAACTCGATTCTCGCAAAATATCGTGATTTGTCGGTGGCTCGCAGATCAATTATTTGCCTCTGCTCAACCTCGTCCAATAATTGATAATTATTTATCGTGGTAGCACGTTTGATCTCAGCTATGGCTGAAAATACACAAAAACTTCAAAGTAAAGGCTATTACCACCTTACATTTTCGTCCATTTTAGCAATTTTAACACTGTGAAAATGGTGCCAAAAAAAGGCAAAAAGTAAGGGCTAACACCTTACATTTTCGTACATTTCTAGCCATTTTCCCAATGGTGAAAAAAGGGGAAAAAACGGGAAAAAGCAGAGCCTGAAAAAACTGGAAAAAACCAGCTAAAAATGGACGAAAAGTTAAGGGTAACTCTATACTTTTTGTTAATATTTGACTCTCAGGGGTAACCGCCAGTACAACGCTATAGTTATTACAATCTAGATTAAATTCTCGAAGAAAAAATTTTATATTATTTTTAAAGATTGCCATATCTCTTGGACTAAATATCACCAATCGAATAAAGTGACTTTAGTAATAGCACAATGCACTTACAAAGCCAAAATAGTAGACAAATGCATGCATACTAAGACAGTCTCTTCATGCGCTGTTTCGACGTGACAAGATAAATTCGGGAGACTATTATCTTCGTTCCAAACATTTTCTCTTGCCAATTCGCTTCCTAGAAAAACAAATTATTCCACAATCATTTCAAAACCACAATGTGCTCTAAAAACCCGCTTATTGCTGTAGTATAACCAGTGATTGGTGTCTAAGATTGGCAGTGGCGTAGCGGGGAGGGGAAGAAAAAAAATTTTCGAACCGTATTCCTTAAAAAAAGGTGTTAAAAACATTTTCAGGACTATGACAAGTAAACATTTTTTCCTATCCATTCTGCCAAAAAAGGGGCTCCAAATTTCACAATTTCACCAATTCCTGCTTTTGGGGGCCAGCCGTTGCTAATTTTCTGACCCTCTATAACTGAGGCTCGGGCCAATTTGCCCAATGTACTAGCAAAAATTTTATGGTCATTTTTTCTGGGGGCCCCGCCTCTGGACACCCAAACACCCTCCAGTTACGCAATTGAAGATTGGCAAAAAATACCTCATCTAGAGCTCAGATGCACTTGTGATGAGGTGGACAGTCAATGTCTTGATAACAGAAGTGCGCAAACCACTCCTCCTATTGCTACTCCAGTTATACCCAATATCACAGGCCACGTGAAAAACTGAAAAATATAAAATGTTACCGGGAAATGTTAGGTTAAGTTGAATCAAGTACTTGGATATGAGATTGCTTTCGCCTTTCAAGGCAGGGTGGAAAAAATAGGCGAGCACGCGAGCACTGCTCGCAGAAAATGTTAAACAGCTGCAGGAAATTTGCTATTGAAACTTTGAAAGACCTTAAAACCCATGTCCCACTATAGGTGCAACAACATATGGTTGACAGACATTATTCCTTGAATTTAAGGGTGGACTATCAGATATCCTCGGAGGTGGGGGAAAGAAAAAATTACAGCTATTACATGAAATATATAAAAGCTTCTTGTACAGCTTCTGCAAACTTAGCAAAAGTTTGACAAAGCTCCAGCATTGCAAGGACAATTTCCCCAAATTCCCCTCTCCACTCTCAGACTCAGGATATATAATAGACAGGTCTACCACCGAAAGACTTGCTCATTTCCCTGAACATTAATGGCAGAGGTCACTCAAATACTCAATATGATTGCATCATGAGTTTACTAGAAATGTGTGTGTGTTTAGTTTTGGGAAGTCTTTTATATCACTACCGACATTATTTTCATACCGTGTTATTATTTTCTGATGTCGTGTTATCGTTATTGAGACCAAACATTCTTTGATATGTACTGCGTTCTTTTTCCGTACTTTCATCTAACTTTTGTCTGACTAGGTAAAGTTCTCTCCTTATTAACTACAAGTGAAAATTAGGAACAAGTTAGAATTCTGAATTTGCTTTTTTGTTGTATGGACCACAATGGAACATATTTATTGTCATGGTCTGAGGAAACATTTTCAGTTGACGATCAACAAAACATACTAGTGAGCTTAAAGGCACAGTTCAGCCTTCTGAATGATGGTTTTTAAGGCACATTACAGCCCTTTTACTTGAAACAACTAACCAGGAAAATCAATTAAACATAATTCAAGATCAGCAAACTTAACGATTTTAACATTTTAAAACATTTTTATTGTTAAAAACATTTGCTGATCTTGAATTATGCATAATTGATTTTCCTACTAGTTAGTTTTTTTTTTTCAATTGACAACTTGCATGTTAGACTAAATTTTAATCTAAGTAAAGAGAAGGAAATCAAACACCACAGTTAAAAAGATCGTAATGAAATTAGTAAAACTGCAACTGAATTTGGTTGCGAAATGTTGTAAAATACAGAAAATATAGCCTTGCGAAGTTTTCATATTTTCAGTATATTTGTATTGCGTGCGGAAATTGTTACAATTTTCGGCTCAAAAATGGTAACAATTTCCGCACGTAATACAAACATACTGAAAATATGCAAACTTCGCAAGGCTATATTTTCTGTATTTTACAACATTTCGTAACCAAATTTTGCAATTTTACTGATTTTAATAAGTTCTTTACGGGAATTTAGGTTTTTTTGCCTAAATCAAAAATTAGTCTAACATGCAAGTTGTCTATTGAAAGGGCTAAAATTCGCCTTAAAAACCATCATTCAAAAAGCTGAACTGTGCTGTTAAGCAAGCAACGTTTAATTATGTCAACATGAACATCACCTGTTGAAAATTGGTATAACTAATTTTGGCGGCATTTTACATCAAAATCTTATGTAATATTTAAAAATCTTATGTTTTGTTGTGTTGAAGATCACCACAAACTGATGCAAAGTACAGTTTTTAATCCCCCCCCCCCCTCCCTCGGCAATCACCACTGTTTCCCACAGGTCCCAGTAAATACTGTATTGCCATGTACCAACAAATACTCACCCTATTTTCAGGATCAAGAGAATTAGCTTTTCTCAAAAGTTCAACAGATTCTTCATATTCTCCTTCCGCATACAACACCTTTAAATTTAGTACAATTTAACAACTTTATCAAAGTTTGATTTTAAAAGCTGTGGGGTTTAACATTTTCTTGCTATGAAGGTCATGAACCTTACATGTATGCTCAAGTAGCAAAAAATGTTAAAATTTCCAAGTAACACACCTTTCCTTTTCGAAATAAAGCTTTAACATTATTTGGATCAACCTCCAAGACTGAATCGCATGCATTCCTTGCAGCAGCATATTCCAGAACCTGGGGATAATAAGATAAGCAATTGTTATTAGTTCTTCAATTTATAAATATATTAATTAGTCAACAAATACTTTAAAATTGTCTGGCACCAGACAGACTCTGCTCTCTCTAAGTATTCTGCCTAACCTTTAGATGTGATGCAGAAATATTGTTCCAACATTTGACTTTCAGTTCAATGATAGCCTGTAAAATGTCAAATACCTATTAGACTCAAACTAGAAAGAAACTTGCTAATAACTTATACAATTACAAGATAGCAAAATATAAAGAGACAATTAAATGAATATTATAATATGAATATCTATAAAATGTAACTTTTATAAAAAGATTACCTCAGATTTTGATGATCCCAAATACTTCAAGGCTCTGGGAAAGAAAATTATACATACTGTACAGTAAATAAATTAGAATGCTTTCAACCTCACAATTGTCTATATAATATAGCTTTATATTCTGGGTCACTACACATATATATTGAGGGTGTTTAGGTAATAGTGGCATACTACTGTATATGAGTGTAATTACTGTAGCATCTAGGGTTGGGTGATATTTCGATATTTTGATTTATCGCGATATTTTCAATCGCAATTATCGTATGGAAGGTAGAAACCTAAGCGACGATATATCAAAATTATCGTCATGCTCGATGACTATCGTGATATTGCTTCACATGTGCATATAGCTTTTTTAAAATCCTAAGCAGCTAGACTGTCTAGTATTTATGCAGTTGTCTGATTGTAATTGCACCTCAATTGTACAAATGAAGGTCAACACAACAGCAACTGCCAATTATGCACATGCTGTTCACACAATTACATAAGTCAACTACAAAATCATGAATGATGGCTATGCAACACACTTTCCAAATTAACCCTTTAAGTGGCAATGTGCCCTGCTTTATTATTTTACACTCACTGTCTAATGCCAGATGATTTTACTTGTCAAGGGGAGAGTGCTCAGTCAGTTTAAAAAGTTCACCTTGAATAAGAATGTACAGCTAGAGAGTATTCTTCTCTCCTGAATAAATCATTGCCTCGTTCTCGTTTCTGATCTCTAATAAAAAGATAAAATAATAGTACATTTTAAAATCAGTTGGTTAGAGCCAAAGTCCTAAATTTCAGAATCCACTATTGGAAACAAATGCAAATTTAGAACCCTGTTATTTTTCAGGTAGTTAGATCACACCTTCACCACAAACAGCTACAGGTACACATGACAATCCATTAACCCAACAGGTTGCACTGCACCCTACTTTATTATTTTCCTCTGTCCAAAGCCAGATGATTTACTTGTCAAGGGAAGAGCGCTGGTGCTCAATATGGGTTTAATGGAATAATCATACCCTAATTCAATCCTTTGTTCATCCGTCAATTGTGAGATATTGGGTCCATCCGCAACACTCAAGAGTTCCAACATATATGTGACTTCACTGTCTGGTGGAACATCACCTTCATCATCATCTTCTCTGTTCCAAGAAATATTATACTTGTCAAAAGTTGTCTTGAATACTAATTCGTATTTGGATGTATGGATTTCCGGACATTTGTCTGGACAACCATACGTTGATTAATAAAATTTTGAGTCTTTGAATGGCTGTATCTTGATCAATATCAACCTGACATCAAACTTGGAAATTTTGCAAAGGACAACATGCTCTTTCTTATTATGTGGGTCTTGTGTTGATTGTCAATGTCATAATATTTAGGGACGTGTATTCAGACTCTCTAGGTTTGAAAGTAGGCAATAGAAAACAAAATTTAGGACTGACACAGAAAACAGTTTTGGATCTCTAGAGAGAACAGTTTTGGATTTGGACTGATAGAGCTATCCATTATTATAAAGTTAGTTAATTTATTTAGTTTAGGTTTTCCTTCGCAGCACAACTGTCCCAATAAGGGATTGCTCTCTCCAGACCACTATAGAGAACTGAAGTTAGTTTTGATGATGATTCCAACAGTACCTTCCAGAAGTGCCATAAGCAAATCTTGCTGCTGCTACCAACTCGCAAATCTCACTTTCCAACATGGTTGGCACACACAAATCCAATGCTAAAATACCATTCAATAAATTACAATATTATAGAATATTCTTGACACAAAGCTAATTTGTAACAACAAATTGCACCACTTAGATTGATATTTTTAAAATTTCTTTGTGCGACGGTGGAATTTTTTATATGATGGTAAACATATTAACCTACATGTACCTGTAACAATATCACCATCTCCTATGATAAACTGCAATTTCTCCTTCACATCAACTTTGTCACCACTTGCTAACGTTCCTTCACATCTGATGCAAACTTCTTGGCCTAGTAATGGTCGAGAGCCATCTTCCTTCCCTGCTCTTATAATCTGGAGAAGTGAAATGATAAAAATCCTTGAGGATTCAGCCATGCAGAGAGTAGGGGGCAGTCGCTAATCATCTTTCAATGCAACTGAGAGCACTTGGCAGGCCTGATGGCATTAGCCAAAAATCATGCAGGGTTGGCAAAGTCTTGCCAGGTTGGTTTAAAAAATTATCATACAAAACCCAATGTGTTGTTCCAGAAAATATCCACACAGAGAGGGAGGAAAGAAAAATTGTTTCTGATAATACTCACTGTATTAGGACATCTAAAGAGGGGAGGAAGGTTAACTTCCAATTTCCTCTGTGGAGAGGTAGGAAATTTCTTCTGGAATTACCCATTGCTGGGAATTTGAAATTTTTCCTGTGAGATGTGGACCTACACCTTTTTTGTGAACCCAAAATTGTACAAATTTGAATGATTCTCAATATTGTACAAATTTGAATATGATTCTCCCTGTAACAGACTCTAATTATGTCTATTTTTCCCAGGAAACATTCAGGTATAGATCAATTTTGCCTGTACTGGCCAGTATGGAATGTAAGCACCATGGAGCGGACGTGTCGCCATGCACAACCAGCAATACAGTAATATATTAACAAGTATTTGGTGCAACATCCAATGCACAAAAGTTTCACTCCATACAAGCCTGTACAAGTCAGTATCATGCACAATATACACATTATTGCATCATGCATTCCACTCAAAATTATATAAAAACTTACTTTTTTCTTCAGAAGACCATTTCCAAGCAAATCAGTCCACTCTTGTTGCTGTTTTACCTCTCCTGGTGGTTTTGCGGGTTCACTATGTATTTCTGAAGTACGAAACTGGGTTTCCGTTTCCACATTTGACAACAAATCAATAGTTTCATTTCTATTTTCCACTACAATACTGTCCTGCGTCTCTTGTACACTTTCAACATTGCCCTGAACGCTTTTTGCCTCATCTAGTGTCTCTATAATATCTTTTTCCTCAATTTCCACAACTTCGACAGCTTGTTGTTCCGTATTTCCGTCATTTTTTCCAGCTTTTTCAGTTTCAAAATCAACATTTATTTCAGAACTCGACTGTTCCTCCAAATTTCTGCCTGCAACTGTCCCGTTTTCGACGGCATTTTCGCCAGTTTCCTCGGAGGTTTTTTCAGTTTCTTCCTCGCTAGACGCTTCAGGAGTCTCTTCAAGTTGTTCAGTTGCAAAATCCGCTTCTTTGTCAGTGTTTTCTATCGTTGAATCCATCCGGAAATCGAAAGTTGTAATAAAATTTTAATTTTTTTGCATGCGAAGTTGTTTTTTCATGTGTTGCGCCTGCGCTACATCACATCAGCAGTTGTTGGAGAAAACGAATACGTCATGTAAATATTTTATATTGTATTACCGTCATCTGCATCGAAAGGTGAACAGTCGCAGATAAAAACAATGCCCATCTCAATCTTGATTAGGGGGGGGAGTACTCTAGCCTCTTCCTGTGTTGTGTAGATGCATTGTGGGAATGCAGTTCTAATTATTTTTTAGCAAATTATTATATTTGATTAATTTAGGAAATAAATATAATATCTAAATTTAATTATGTACAGTTATACACAATATTAACGTAACTTCACATCCAAAACTTTGTCTGGCCTCTTAACACTTCAATTAACAATATGTCAACAGATTATAAATACAAATGACAATTCGAAACTTGTCATATCGTGAGTGCACATGGCTAGCCCTTGGCAGGTTTACCAGCTTTTGCTTTCTTTTTGCCCAAACCAGTACCAGGTGACTTTGCCTTCCCGGCCGACGTTTTCACATTCTTTTCCACATCCTGTCCCACAGCCGATCTCTCAAACTCGTACACCAAGTTCTCCTGGTTTTCTTCAATCAAATGCTGGATGGTCGACCCTGCTTCAGCCACATATATTCTCACCGTCTCTTCCACAATGTTATTTAAATCCTCTGCAGTTATTGGCTGCTTGGTGTTGAGTAGCGAGAGTTTGTCGTGGACAAGAGACTGAAGTCTCTCAATTTCTGAATCGAGTTGTAATTGTTTTTCCTTTATAATGAAAAAAAAAACGTTTGAATTTTGAAATGATATAGTAAAGTTGCTGGCTTTATCAAGCATAATAAATAGCTTAAATTATGCCAAACCTGGGCTCTTTCTAACACTAAACTTAATTGTCACAAACAAATTTTTCTTCCTTGGTGGTGGATCGTTTCTGTATCACATGACCAGGCCATTGTTACTTTTTCTTCAATCAAAAAAGGGGGATACCAGTGGGGGTGCCATAGCCCTGGGGAGCCAGGAAATGATGTGTTGCCTTTCTCTAAGGGGATGTATATCCTAGCTCCCTCCTCTTCCGATTCTATCTATGGTTTACACTTACCATTATTTTTCTATTATGTTGTTCCTCCAGCTTTTTCAAAACTTGCTGCCGTTCCCATTCCGACTTCTCTGTCCCCTTCCCAAGTGCTGGTAAATCTTGGGGCGGTGTCTGAACACTGAGATGAGTGCTCCTCTTATTCACGTCTCGTTCGTTTGTGAAGACAAACTTGTACAAATGAAAGTGGTTGAAGAAGAACGAGAATACAAAGTCTATAAGATTTGCCAGTCTCTGAGAAGGCAAGGTTGTAGCGTGGGTCTTGAGAATCGTCTTGAAATGCTCCGTTGCTTGCAACAGTGGAAGATCTATATGATAATAATTTGATAACTTTGGATTTATATAAGAATGCAAGTACTTGTCAAATACAAGGAAAACTTCTATGTTTCTTCGTCGTGAAGTTAGTAGCTTCCCCAACAAATGGACTTCGCTCAAAACGTCGAAGTTCTCCTTGTATTTTTCTGGTAGTTGTATCCCTAACTAGAGGCTAGCTGGCTAGGGCCTATGTCCCTATAAATCCAAAATGTTCTTATATTAAATTAGCACTACCTACATGGACACATATAAAATTATCCAGTATAAAAGCTTAGCATAGCTTAGTTTATGCTTATTTAGTTTAACAATCTAAAATTTTACCTAGGGTACTGTTAAGTAGTTCTTTCATAAGCTCAAAAACAGCTAATCCCTGTTGCCATGAGAAACCGCATTCTGACGCGAAATTAATACTTTCCAAATAAAAATCCAACAATATTGATGTTTTTATATCATCTTCGTCACTATCACACGACTGACAGTTTAAAATTTTTGCCAAAACTTGACGTCGTTTAGGTTTATTCTCACAACGATAAAGACATTTTATATTTTCTTCTGAAAGGGACATTTTGAACTGTTGCAGTTTGTTTTAAGTGATCTTACATGAAGTTTCCCGGAATATGAGACAGCAGTGATCTCAATATAAAACACTGAATACACTTAGGTTCGACGACAAAGGTTCTCTTCATGCAGTTTTATATAGAGATCCCCCCCCCCCCCCCTAAGTAGCCGGTTGTCCCAAGTCTCGTTTGAATGGGTTTCGATAGGGTTTATTATGAGATCAATTTTCAAGTTCAAAACTGATCTCATAATACATCGGTTACCGGTTGGACCATATCAAAACCCTGTCAAAACCCATCCGAGCGAGACTTGGGGTCTAGTCGACCCCCCCCCCCCCAGTTTCGTGGATCAATATCCTTCCTATCCGAGTCCAGGGAGGAGCAAAATGGTTGGTGACTTTGTACACAGGGTTACACAGGGGCGGAATGTTGGTTGGGGAGAAAAATTCATGGAACCGGAGGGATGACGTCTAGAGGTGTGCATCGCATCGGATCGGACGTTTATAATCCGACAATTGCCTGGTGTTTAAAATCCTATCCGATCCGAGTTTTGAAAAAGAATTCCAATCCGATCCGATGATCATGAATTCTTTACAGTAATAAAATAAATTTTTCATTCAAGTTGAAATATTTAACCAAATATATATAAAAGCAAGAAATACACGTCAAGAAGCTGACGAAGTGTCGTCCAATTGAAGTATCAAACGAATAATGCAGCGACAACCGCGATAATGCTTTGATAAATGCATGGATAATTAATTCTTGCGATAATGCGTGGATAATTAATTCATTTTATTTCGGATATCGAAGTCCGATCCGATCCGACTACGAAACAACTTTATCAATCCGTCCGATATGAATATTTTGGTTCCGAAATCCGAACGAATCGGATTCGGATTGGTTTCGGATCGGATTTGCACACCTCTAATGACGTCATTCATCAAGTATATTATCGATCGTTAATGTAATTTCCTTATTCGTGAGGAACAAAGACAAATAAAAAAGATTTCAACTAAAACACACGTTTTTTCGTCACGTCCGCGCACTAGATTATAAGCACATCTTAAGTTCCCGGATTTTACATCAATGCACATTTTTATCTTGTTTTATTTAATATGGATATTTATTGAAACATTGTGGAGTGTAAAATTATTTGATATAAAATATTGTATAACAATATGCGGCTAATGTGCATGAATATAGTGTTAATGTGTTTGTGAATTTGTGAATGTGACTTTCGTATCATCGTACGTTGTCTTAGGAAAGGCCAAGCAATCTCGAAAGTATTAATTAAAACATCGCGCTTGTAATGTCCAGACATAGAAATAATAGACATAGCATGCGTGCTCCTATCTCGCTTCAGTCAGAACTTTGTCACAAAATGGCGCATTGAAAAGGCATTTTTACTCGGTCCAGACTCCTGCAATGAAGAATTTCGCTCGGTTCCGGAACTTTCGCACGAGGAGCGAGGCTTTCGAATTTTGTTTGAACATGTTTGGTTTGTATTTTATAAATTGTAAATCGGTTGACTGAAAGTTACGTTTATTTCGTAAATTCAAAATGGCGCATTCAAAAGGGCACGCACGGTGAAAAAGTGGAGACATGATTCGTCATCAGCGCGCATTCTATGTCTATTATTTCTATGTGTCCAGACCGTAATTGTTTATTTGCATCAGGCTCGACTTTGGCCTAATTTGCATCAACTAAGCTGGACCTCACTGGCGTTATCCTGTTCTTTTAACGTTCGTATATAAATCAATAATGACCGAAAGACCCACTCAAAACTAGGCTATCTACATTTTACATATATATTTTGCTTATATTTTAGTGTTTTTTTTGTAAGACTGTTCAGTAAAAACTTCACACTTGAAATCTTCAAGAACTCAACGCATGTATAATAGGTTTTAGCCTCCTCCGCTCTTGCGAGTTTGCGGAGGCTAGGTTTTAGACACTGATCTAAAAATAAGACTGGATTGTGCACCGGATGTATTTTTCAGTAATTAGACAAATAAGGCCTGGTACAGACGTCGTGTCGTCGTGCTTATCATGTGCCAAAACGGCCCCAAACCTAATTTCAATGAACTGAATTTATTTGCACTGCCACTGTGTTTCCGCACATAAAGAGTTGTTCGACCTCTGCACTAGGCCTTCGACAAACAGTAAGACAAATATACGAGTTTGTTGTACCAGGACAAAAATACATTTAAAATTATTTGGAAAACCTGTAAACTCTTAACACTTTGAATTCCACAGGTACTCTCTCATGTACAATGCAACGGGGCATTACAAGGAATCTATTTGCCATGCCGAAACATTGGTTTCAAATTTACGAATATATTGAATTATTAAAAAAGATTTTACTAAAAAACGATTAACCCTTTATCCACAACAGACTTTTCTTTTGTGAACTGTGAAGTAAATCATGACATTACTGTAGTCATTACAAAGTACTAAAAAAGGGTTTATCCTATTGATAGGATTAACAAAGCACTATTGTGCAGCAGATAGTGCAACCTGCAGTTATCAGAGTAGGAAAATCAAATGTTTATTCTTTTCATACTTTTGTATTTTGAGGAAAAACAATTTATTTTCTTCTCTTATTGTCAGCATTTCTGAAGTTGACAACTTCTGTTGAAATCTAGCTATATTTAACAGTAAGCACAATCCAGTTTTATTTTTAAGTTCAGTGTCTACGCGGTAACCATAGTTATTTACATTGAGTAACAGCCAGGAGTGCTCCGAGACCAATAGTCGCTGTCGCAGTGACCAGAATACCTCTGAACCAAGTAGCATTCTTGGGTGAATAGGCTTCGTTTTTGGAGTTATTGAAGTGCGTGATAACGTTTTCCTAAGAAAGAAATTTAAGAAACGCGGTTAGATATAAGAATGCTTTTAACACATCACCAACTACAAGTGTGGTTTAGTGTCTTTATATTTGACCAGGGTTTTTCTAATATGCTTTATATGCAATTTTCTGATTATAATTTCCCCTCAATTGTTTCCTGTATGACCACCACAAACGGTCTTTTCTGGACCTCACAGGAGAAGTCTTGAACTGATACTGTAGATATACCCAGTATAAATGTTAGTTTAGTTTAGATATGGTATAAAACCATTAATGACCAAAGAATGAAATCGTCACTAGACATGTTTGAACACGGAAGAAGTCGTTTTTGACCACTTTGTTATTAATGATCAATTTGAAGGTTTTTTTGTCTGGGTGTGAACAGTCAACTTCTATTTTCGTCTTAAACAATGTTAATATCAATCATTAAAATGTTCTATTTACTATTGTTTTAAATATCTGGTTATAAATAACCATTCCAAGACAAAGGTACGAATGTCTTCCAAGAAGTCACATGAAACCGGATCGATCAAGGTCGCGAGGACGTATATAATACCGTGCCCACGCAGACATACTTGTACCATATTAGGCAACAACAGGAAAAATAATAAGAAGATACAGGAAGCAAGTTCAGACGGGCACGGCCAGTTTCTAAAACGAAAACATGCAATTAAAATTCCTCACGTTAAAACACGAACATAGTTTCAACTGATCCATTTTGTTGAAATCCACAAGCCTAAATCTTTCTTAAGCAGTTTCTCAATTAGGCTGCGTAGGCTGATAGATTAAGCTTTGGTATTTTATGTTTGTAAAATCCAATTTGAAGATTGCAAATATTGTGAAATTCATCGACAAACCATGACGAATGGTTGGTGATTCTGGGAAAAAGTGATTTTGTGAATTAAATTTAAAGGGAAATTTATGGTGTGGCGTGTTTGTGTGGGTTTTGAGACATTCATTAATGTAATTTCCTGAAGCTTGATTATCTTATGATTCATCTCAGACGGGAATTGTTGCAAAATATTAGTCCAGTAGGTGGTGCGGGTGTATTAAAGCTGATGAAATATACGCACTGTGAAGTGTCTGTGAAAACATGCTCACGTGATAAAAACAATGACGATGGTGATAAAATATTTTCCGCACTTAATGTGGTTGGGAGGGAACCTGATAAGGCTATCAATTATACATAATGGCTTGAGTCAAAGTTTTCATCCAAACTGTTTTTGGACATTGATTCACAATATTATAATTTATTAATTTCGATAAGTGAAAATTACAGGTGGTTTATTACCACAAGCAATGACGTTGCCTAGTTTATAGGACTGCCAAATTTTACTTCTTTTACAATATGAAATGTTAGGCTGACGTTTCCACAATAGAAATGTATGACTGATTAGATAATTAAACGTTTCCTTTCAAGGCCCAGTGACATCTTTTTGTATATAATCACACCTTCATGGTAGAATGTTGAAATGAATATCAATGTTTCCATTAAAGTCTTTGGAAAAAGATCCATATGCACGTTACACATTTCAATCTGTAGCTACCTTTTGCAACTCATATCGATTATATTTTTAGCTCCTTTTTTGAACTAATTTTTTGATAATTCTAACCAATTTCTTATTCTGATAATTAGGCCCTTCGTCATTAAAACGTTGAGGTTCTGCTTATATTTTTCAGGTAGTTGTATATCTTTACAGTTTTCAGTTGTTGTACCTACCTACACTGGTATCATTGCAACAGGGGTATCATTCCTTCAATGTGTAGTTTCCTAATTTCCCCTCAGTGGCTCAGTATCATGCAAGAAAACCACAAGACAGTTTGACTCAAGTAAACACAGACTTTTTCTAAACACTTTAGTAGTAACATAGACTCCATAAGAAATGATTCTCACTGTTTCTCAAGGCAGAACTAATAAAAGTATCGAGTATAAAGTTAGTTTTGAAATCCTGCTGATAGAAAAATGTAAAATGTCAGCAATTTTCCACAAGACTGAACAAATCTATGTGGAAGCTCAGCAGGTTTAAAGTGATTGCATTTTTGTGCACAATAGTACGCAATTTAGAAGATTAAAATGTGGATAACTTAAGCCCATTATAAAGCTATACAAACATAATTATGTTTTATTTTAGCTATAAGTATTTTACAATATCATTTTTTAATGACATTATTAACTAAACAATTATGCAAGTTTAAAAATAGTTGTGCAATTTACAAGCATGACCAGTGGTTATGTTAAGAATTATTTTTGCTATCATAAGGTTCCACAATATCTTTATTGTGTTGTCAAATGAGTCTTGTGCTTACACAAATGTAAAAATAGCGGAGTCCCTCCAAGTCCAAGAATATAAGTGGCACTGGTAGAAATCGTATAGATTGAATTACTTGTCTGGTTGTATTTGTTAAGAGAAAAGTTTCAATTGTATGTAACAGAACAAGGATAAAAACATTACAAGCCAATGCATTTTGTTTTCTAGTTATTTGAGTTACGGTGAGATACTGACAAGTGTGAAGTAAAAATTAACACTGTAGATATAGACCAAGAGGAATAACTCATCTACTCAGAATTAGATTTTGATTAGTTACGTTCGTGGTAGAAGCAGTTTTCTTACATGGAACTAAGGAAATGATAGTCATATTTGAGCAATCGAGCCCATGACAGAAAGGCAAGAGACAAATGCAATAATTGCTGTGCAATCAACACACTACCAGATATTTCTTGTATATTTTTATTACATTATATTTCAAAGTATTGAATTGCATAACAAAATCAAGGATATTTTGAGTTTTGACCTTGATTAGACTTTGGTTGAAGGACATTTTGACCTTGTACTATGGACACCTATCGTATCAAGATACGTCGTCGCACGTCCATTTCCAAGAATTGGGGCCAACATGTTGAAACGCAAAACAGCACATATCAACAGTAGAGGTTATTTTTGAAGTCACATGTGGCTATTTGTGAGAGGATTGGTTTTGCTTTAGGCAAAGGTCCTTTCCATAGGGCTGCCATATTTTCAGCCAGATGAAACTTTATTTCTTGAAAATGCAACATATAGGATATTAAATATCCAAATATGACATGAACTTTGTCCAAACTGTGCCAGCGATATGACAAAGGTGGAAAACACAAGTGAATTTCTGAAGAGAAAATGCTGGATACCTCACTAATATTAACATGGCCCTTTCATTCACATTCGTTTCCCTTTGGTTTTCTCACACGTTCCTTTTATTACAAGTCTTTGACTCTTTGACAATGTGTACTGCTAGGCAGATCCTCATAGGAAATGCAGGGTTTACTTTTAATTGGCTAACGTCAAACCATTTTGTGATGAGGTGATTGACAATACACTGTTTCTAGGCAAGTCGGATTCTGCATCAAACAATTTCTATTCACGAAAGTGCCTTATATTTGATGGCTTCCTGTTAAACTTTCCAAGAATCCAAACGATTCTTGATTGCTTATAAACTTTCACATCAACTACTTTTTAATACATCCAGTCCTCCACCAATATTTCAGCTTTCACTCCGACTAAGCTAGTATTTCAGTGCTTTGAAACCTTGTTTGAAACTGTACTAAGAGATATACTGGCTGTAAATAAGGGGGTACTGGCCGTACCCCTCCATAAGGAGGGTTTTGACTGTTGTTCGAGCACAAATGGCCTGTTTACACCATCTGCAATTTTGGCACGACACAAATAAATTACTATTTGTGCCATGCCAAAAATTGTGTGTGGTGTAAATGAATTTAAATTTGCCATTTTATCTGTACGGGACTGTACCTATGCTTTATAACTTAAGTAGAGTGTAAACACTATATAGGGCCTGTTATCCGCTCAAAAAAATAAATACTCACCCATCCACCTTTAGAATGTATCCAAGGACCAGTTTTGTGCACAATAAAACATGTCGTCAGTTCAACTATCTGATCAGGGTTCACAATTACCCCTTGAGAGCGAAAATACTGCGAAACCTTCACACTGAAACCCAACAAGGCAATCAGGCGTCCCCAGTTGATCAAGCCATCTTCGAAAATATTTTCTGCAACGCCATAAAACATTCCTTCCAGGTTATCTGGCGTGAAACCCAAATTTAAACAAAGCGAATTATAGACGTCGTGTTTTGCCAAAATTTCGCTCGTTAACTCGCGAACTTTCTTGGCCTCTCGCGACGGGATTCGATTGACTTTTCTGCCAAGGAGCGAAAAAATAACATACTGTACAATGGCGAATGTTTTTTCGAAAAGTGGCTGGTCGTTTTCGAGCGTGTGATTCGATTCAAGCGGCAAATTCGTCGTCGACGTTGTTTCTGAGCTTTGAGCGAAGTCTCTTTGTGTATTCTGGGAGTTTCTAGAGTCGTGGTTTGGTGGCATATTTGAATGATTTTTGTACTTGAAATCCAGCGATTGAATGAAGATTATACAAAAGTGTTGAAAAATCAGCGAATGCGGCTAAAATTTTGCCAGGAAAGCGAAGAATTTGTGGCTCGAATTCAACCTTCGTCACAAATTTTAAGCTTTCTTCGCGTGTGATGCCGGGAAACTCAGAGTTTTCGCCGGAAGACGAAGTATAATGACCTGTAATAACGAATAATGACCTGTTTAGCTGGTTTATAGCTGCTATTTTTACCTCATGACGTTATTACCATGGTAACTGCTACGACATTAATTATTAAAATTTTATTAATATCATTGAAATTAACGTTGGGAAATCCCATAATTTATGTTACCATTGTAGCTCGCTTATATGTGTATTACAGTAAAATGAAAGTATAAAATTACATATCAAGCGAAAAAATACGACTTCCTTGACTATGCAAATAAGTGGTATGATTTCATTCGACCGCTTTTTTTGACATAGAGGATGGGTAATCCCAACGACATTGACCTGTTTCAGTTTCATTTGTTTCTACCAAAGGAAGTCAAATGTATTTCGTATGTGGTTATTTTGACCAAATGATGTTGCACCGATATTGATTATTGAATATTGTGGATTCGATTCCTCAAATTCCATTTCGAAACATAAAATTCGAATCATCGGACAATTATCCATGGGAATACTCTATACAAAACAATAGTAATCTTCCCGCCTGTTGTTCGTATTCCGGTTTCTTCCCACAGGAAAATTTGACAGGAATGGATCAGGATACAAAGAAATTTAATCACAACCCCATCAACATTAGATAAATATCGCGATTCACTACAATCTAGGCATCTAGCTAACTGATATTATAATTATCGAATAATATGGCTAACCTAACTTGAAGGCTGACCATTGAACTATAAATAAACCTATAGTACTACATACTATACCTGTACCTGTTTACTTATAGTTCAATGAGGCTGACCCTCCTTCCATCTTCTCCAATTTCAGACAAATCTTCTATAATTTCTTTAAGGCACCGTACATACGAGCACGTTTCCCTTGACAAATTTCCTTTGACAAGTTTACTTTCTCGTGTGTACGGTCAACAAGTTAGTTTCTTTGACAAGTTTCCCTTGATAATAAGTTTTGTTGTTTGTGTTGTTAAACACATTTATATCATGTTTTCACCACCTTTTGTTTACCAAAACCACAGAAGTATTTCTTGTAGACTTGTCAAGTTACAAATTTTCCTTGTCCCAAAGCTGGCGTGACTAGCTTTGCCAAAGGTTCCTTGGCAAGGCAAGATTGTGTGGCAGTGTAAATTATATGACAGTGTATAAGCCTTCTTCAGAGTCATGATCAATTCAAATCTCACAATGAGTCAATTCGTCAAAGAGTTTGACGTTACTTTTCTTTTAAATTTGTAACCTAACTCAAACATCCTAACGGAAAAGCTGGAAGGTTCGGAGTTAACTCCATGGTCTTGTTTGAATACCACGGGAGGTTAATCAATTTTTGTTATAAAACGAAACTAACATTCTAACATTTCATGGGTGGAGACTCACTTCTCACGGGAAATTGGGACATTGAATTTTTCAAACCTTGCAAGAATTTTGTAGCAAGCATTTGCATACATCATGTCATTCATGTGCTTTCATCACTGTGATCAGGCCAATATTGACATATCACTTGATCCTAGCCTGACATAATCTGATTTGCAAAGTTCCCCCTAAGCTCTAATAAAATATTTTCCCGTTTAGATATAGAGATGATGCAGTTCATGGCATGATCATTTCACTGATCATCAGTGATCATTCCGTATTGATACAAGTGGGTGAAGGCAGTCAGGCAGATTGGATCTATCTTGAATGGTCTGCATGTACCAGTGCTGGTCTGACATGATCTGATTTCCAAAGTTCCCCCTAAGCTGTAGTAAAATATTTTCCCGTTTAGATATAGAGATGATGCAGTTCGTGGCATGATCATTCCACTGATCATCAGTGATCCGATTCCGTATTGATACAAGTGGGTGAATATAAAAATTGTGAAAATACAAGGAGAACTTCGACGTTTCAAGCGAAGCCGGACCTTTCGACGATCCATAGTAAGTTATTGATTTATTTCCTCGTTTTCTAATAAATCCCGTTTTATTTATTCAGGACAACTAGTTCATGAAAGGGTTTCTAAGAACGAGTATTCAGTTTATCAACTCGGGATAAAATCGCTGAATACCGCTAAACAAAAGGACAAGTTATTATCATGAAAAAAGATCACAATTTTGGGGCATCTCGCTCAATATAGAACTAACAGTTGAAGACTTTTTGTAGATGGAAATTTCGGGGCAATTCGAGCGGAAGATTATATTCAATTTTCACTAGACCTAATAACTATAAACTAGGATTTTAGTTCTATAGTTAACTAAAACAACACTAGTTATAACCAACCATGTTATTACAATACGTAATATTTACTATTGACCATTTGCATTTCCTGGGCAAATTGTTAGCGAAGATCCAATGTAATCTGAAGCCATGATCATCGTCTCCATTGTAAAACACCAGCCTTGATGGTAAGATTTTCTTTGTTGAATAATGTTACTGTTTCTATTAATAATTTTAAGTCATATTTTTTGTGTACTAAAATACGTCTAATTCTCTTCATTGAACTAGAGGTCTAAGTCTTGGTCGCACCTACCTGAAGAGCCTTACAGTATGAAAGCTTGGAACCTTAATAATAATAGGGAAGGAAGGGGCGGTTGACGCTCTTGTACATATAACAGAAGAAGCAAGAAGGAGAGAGTCTTTATTGTCATTATTGATTTTCAAGACTGAAATATCTGTTATCATGTGATATATTCATTATCATACTTATCATTTGATATATTCATTATCATTATCATCGAGAACTATGCTTCTTGTTTTAGACTCATTTGATTCTCTATATAGATAGGGAGAACGTATAGGAAAACAGCTATGATAAAGGTTATCTGAAACATTTTATGAAGGATCGCTGAATAACACAGACCAGTGACGAGTAGAGAGGGCGCAGGGCAATTTATTTTTCATGGAGGAACATACTTTACTAGATTACATTAGAGACGACTTTCAATAAGGAAGAAGAAGCACAATGCGTGACCCTCACCAATTGATGATTCCTCTTATTACGTTTTCGTAGCGCTTTGCATTGTGGTTATAGTGGTATCTCGAAAATATTGAATGTTTTCGTGAATATTTCGCTGTTGGCTATCGCGCACCTGACTGTAGGCTTTTTTAAAAGTTCTTGCACGAGTCAGGACAAAAAATAAGCCACCTTAAATATCAGTGATACCACTATAACCACAATGCAAAGCGCTACGAAAACGTAATAAGGGGGAATCTCCGAATCTAGTATTGACAACTCTCATCAATTGACTGGGCTCCTTTGAAGCCTGCTTTAAGCCCCAGTCAATGATGAGAGTTAGCATGCAGTCACGCATTGGGGACATGTCAAGCATTAGATTAACTAGTAAAGGGTTTCATGAAATGAGTGTTCGAACTATCTCTTAACTCAATCTGGTTTTAACTTAAATGGAATCCATGATAGTGTTGGGAAAGCATTAAGAACAGCTAACCAAGATCTCGTGACTGTCAACTCTCAAGCACTCTCATCCTCGTTTGATCCTCTCGCTTTAGTTACAGTATGCCTACTTTACTGGAGGAAAATTATCATGCGTAGAGGAAAATCTTCCCCTTTTCCTTTTCTCGCACCCTTCATTTAATAGTATACCGGACGTCGCCAGTTTAACCGCAACTAAAAGGCTCCCTTTGTTCATCGGGAAACCCTTCTTGGCTTCAGCCCTTTGTTAAGCAGGAAAAGGTGGTTCTTTCAATACGTGAACAGGCGCCAGATTTGTGAACTTTGTAGCCTTGACAAAATAAACCAACTCCCCCGCAATATACGTGTTCCTGCCATTTAAGCCAGGAAACACGCGCATAAAATCACGATTTTTCTTTATCTTAATGCTTGAATTAAGTTCCTCAATGAATAAATCGTTCCTTATAGCCAGTAAGTTAATCAAATTTGAAAACTGTTACTGCTTTGCTGTAAATTGTGTCTGAAAAGGAGGGTGAACTATATTTATATCGAAATATAATATATCGTCCGCTCATATAATGACGCAGCTCTGACGTAGGCGTTTATTTTTAACCTGTCATTGTTATGAAAATTATAATTGGCTTGAAAGAAATTCCTTTAACAATATTCAAAATAGACAAAAACAAGTGTCCTCACATAGTTTCGATACGTGAAAGAAACAAGCGCTTATAGAGTGAACAGTTTGCTTCGAACACACACAACAGCAAAAGCGTCGAGCCTTTCAGATGGGTTGGCAGAAAACAAACGATAAATCAGAACAGTCTAATAATCCCAGAGCTGTAAGAAGAAACAGGCCACAATCTGTGGCCATCACAGGTGGAGAAGTCGAACGGATTATTTTACAACGACAGTATTCGAGTACGGAAACCACCGTTCAACGGAATGGGTCAGAAACCACACAACAAACTACGTTAACATGTACAATTGTAGGACAAATATTGAGAATCGTCGGAGATAATTTGGACAATGTTAAAAAGGACAACTATGAGGTTACGAATTACGGACGTGTTTAAACGCGCCTGGCTTTGGTGCTTCACAAGTGTAGCTTCGTATGCTTGATTCCTATAAACGACCATAATTAAAGAAACATATATATCTTGATGAATGTCCGTAAAACAAATATATCCAAAAAGAACCCGTGGTGTACAATACACAATATATATTACAACCAAAGAATCATATTGACTACAAATTGAGGTAGAGAAAAAGATGTACTTTTGAAGATAGCTTGGAAGAGGATTGAAGATAGCTTTAACTATGGCAGAGGCGGAATTTTCAGCTCGTAATTTGAAGGAATTTAATAAGTCGATTTAGGCGAGTTGATGTAATTGTAGATGTATAAGAATGTACAGACTGTACATGCAGTGTTTAACCGGTTAGATTTATAATAAAGACGAGAACTTGTTGTTTTATAAGCCTCGTTTCCATTAAGGCCCGTTCAACCGAGGCCAGCAGGTTGGTTCAACATCATCCAATATTGTTGAATGCAACTTGGAAGACATTTTCGGTGTCAAATACAGTTCTAGCAATATCAGTTGCTGTCTGTTTTATGCAGTTGTTATAATTCTTGCGCGACTACAGCCCCCAAAATTAAAAGTGGGGGGTATAAGCCCCCCCAAAAAAAAACAAAAAAAAACCCAACCCGGCTAAGATTCCAAACTGAAGTTTATATACAAGCAATGGGAAAATTTAGAGAAAAATTTAGGACCAATGAAAGAAAACCGGTACGTGTATTAAAAATATCAAATAGGACATATGGTACTGGTCCGGAAATTTTTTATATCAAGGACAATTCATGGAAATTAGCCCCCCCCCTCCAAAAAAAATTGTTCCGCCGCCACTGGTTGTGAGTCAAAACGCGCTAGGTATGATGGATCAACCCTCGTCTCACGCCCCCGTTGTGTACCACTGATATCCTACAAGAGGTCCTCTACTATCCCTACGTTACCACTACAATACCTAACGCGTTAACAACTAATTTGTTTCCCCAGTAGTATTACGTAACTTGACAAAAAATTCTAACCAAATCGCAAGACCACAGTTAGGAAAATGTATCCTACTACAGTGTTGAGTAATGGACGAAGCGTTAGTTTATAAATGTCTTTTTTAAAATTCCTTTTTGTGATGGCTCTAGCTTTTGATATTTAGAATAAGATTACGATTCCCGCATTCGTCACTTTCTCAAGGGCCCATTTGCAATTTTCGCTGCGATTTTCTTCCTCTAAAGCTGGAATAATACGAGCAACAAAATTGCTGCAACATGCAAAAAAATATGATTTCTACGCATGTTAATTGAAAATGTTTACACATAAATTACAAAGCACAAGGCAACATGCGTCGACATTTCTACTTCACATGCGTTGAAATCGCATTTTGTTGCAAGTTGCAGCAATTTTGTTGCCCGTATACATTGCTCCAGCACCTTAAACAAGTGGATGTGTTGTGAATGTTGGGATGATGTTAAACTATACTCAATACATTCACAATTCATTTGCTCGTTCACATCCATCAGAAGAAAATCGCACCAGACATCGCAGCAAAAATTGCAAGTATAAACATGCCTTAATTATCAGTCCCAATGAGTAACCACCAATTATGGTTGATTCGGAAGTTGGGTGTTGGCGTGTCGCTTTGAGCGGGTGTACCTTCCGCATATTGCTGGCGCAATGGGAGTCACTGTTTGGCATGCTTCCCCACCGCCTATACATTCAAGATGCTTGCACGGTCCCTGTTCCCACGGTGTGCATGTTATGATTATTAGTTTGGGGGGGACCACATACCCGCCCCGCTACGATATTTGGGGAAATCGAATGACGCACGACAGAGCAAACCTAGACTAAAGGGTCCTTCTAACTGCCTCACATCTACGTCAAAGTCTGCTCAAATACGTCCACACATAGTCAAATACGACAAGGACGAATTCTACATGACTCTGCAAAAATAATTATGGTTTTGCGGTGTGCCTGAAGAAAACCTGCAATGTTTAGGCAAATAGGAAGAACTAGAGTAAAGATCTTCACTTTTTTCAAAGAATTAACCTCCTTCCAAAAATTTCTCAATATGACTTACCAAGGCTTTTCGCATAAGAACTGTTCCAGTTCACATACATAAAACATGTGAAATTAATCTTTCACATTCGCATATGACATGTGCATTTTCAGATATGAAATGGTCCATTGCACGCAAAATTTCACTGCATGTGAACTAGTATGAGAACAACTTCAGGAGGGCTTATTGTCCTTATATATCCTGTCCTAAGGGTCAGACCATTAGAAAAGTAGAACAGCCATGCACGTGGCAGAAAAAATACATCAAATTCAACATACACAAAAACAAACGCATCAAGGGAATTCTAAAAAAGTATACAAGGCAGAAACCCCCACCCACCTCCCCCACACTTCACTTTCTGCTGATGATTCGAAAGTTATACTTTGTGCGCACTGCTGGCGCAATGAAAATCGCGTCCCTCCCTAGATTCCAGATGCATGCACGGCCCTTGCTAGCTCCCACGGTGTGATGTTATGATTTTGATTTGCCGCTCTAATATTTGGGAAAGTTGAATGACGCACGACAGAACAAACCTAGACTAAAGAGTCCCGCGCATTTACGTCAAAGTCTACATTTTTAAAAAAGCCTGTCTAAATTTAGTCAAAAGCGAGAAAGACAAATTCAACACACGACTCTGCAAATATAAATATTTTTTGTGGAGTGCCTGAAGAAAATGTGAAATGTTTAGGTTACGTCCACACTAATGCATTTTCCCTAGCGTTTTCGTCTTGTTCTTCCTTCACAAGGGAATAGAAAACAATGGTATAATTCTTGAAACAACATGAAAACGGTTTAAACTGGAAGAGCTCCAGTAGGGACCTTCCCTCTTTGCATTCAGCTCAGTCAGCCTCAGTGTTACCACCGGGAAAAAACCCGAGAGTTCTCGATCGGGCCTCTCGGAGCTAGTGGGCGAATTCTTCTGATATACCGATTGTGAAAGTGAGATTATAATCAAACAACTGGATATTGCAGGTATCAAATCCTGGTCACAGAGATGAAACGTACATTCATTAAAGGATGGTTTACGCTATCTTGTGATCACAGTAGGAATTTTCCAGTGCGTCACACAACATACTTTTCGGTCTTGGAGCCTCGCTCTCATTAGTAAATTACGCATGGTAATTGGCTCACGGTTCATGAGAGTGAGGCTCCCAGGTCAAATGACGTAATTCTCGAGGTATTGGGTAAGAAGAATTTGTAAGAAATCTTTGAGGGTTGGTACTCAGTGTTAAGCTGTAAGTCAGTACCCTCAAAGACAAAGATATCTTACAAATCCTTCAAAACATGGAACTTACCCATGCAGGATTCCTACTGTGATCGCAGAAACTTTGATAGTGTAAACCAGACTTAAGGGACGATTTGTATTTACAAGTTACAGAGAAATATTTCGCTTGATTTCTTTTCAATTGCGACCACCGGAATAAATCAGTTGTACTTGAGCGCTCAACAATTCAAAAGAAATTGAACAAAAATTAAAATTTCGAAAGTGAAATTTTTCTTGCAAGTGTGAAAATCCAGCTTAATTAACTACAACCTCGTACCCAGACTCTGGGTACGAGATTGGCTAAACTACCGCAACTCGAAAACTGCTCTGAATGATATCAAAAGACAAATATATGCATGTCATGCCACGCCACTCGTGACGAGTGTTCCTTAATGAAATTTTACTTCCGCTACATTTGACCAGCACCTCACTGACGTCAGAATTTAGCAATAATACAGGATGCTAGTGATACAATACTGCCATTATTTCATAAAAATATGATATCTCATATTAAGCATCCGCCACTATTATAATATATATTCCCCTCTCGCATAATACTACCCTTGTTTCATATTATTGCATAAAATGTTGACAGTTTCTATTAAACTTCAGATTATCATATTATCAATGTTTACACAATGTCTGTAATCTAACTGATCAAGTTTGATTGCTTCTACATTATTATGAGAACGAGAGCGTATTGCCGTAGCTACAGTTTCTTTTTACTTTTCTAAATTTACATGTCCATATAGTTCAAGTAGCAGTACGACTACATATATCGAGTCTCAGCAGTTTTGTCTATAAGCTAGGTTTCACTCAGCACTATAATTTAGCAGAAGGTGATCCACCTGCATTTAACAATAAATCAATAATCCATATATTATATATGCATAATCTTGCATTTTGGTAGCGAGATGTGTAGTTTCATCAGTGCTTGATCCTATAATTCAATCAACAGTTCTGAAATTGACCACTACGCTTTACTTCCACTACATAATTTCTCGGGCCCAGCTACGTATAGAATTGCCTAACAATGGTATTGCGCTGTACTGCCATGTCATGAATAATTATCAAGCACCTTGCTCCTTGATGCAAAAGCATTGGTCTTTTATTGTATTTCACTATTTCTATAGCTATACACATCTACAGGCAGCCTCTACAGTTACGATGGCAAAATAGTGACCTGCAATCTGTTGGAATTGTCTATAGTGAAAAACGGCGCGTGTGCAATGCTATTTGAGCGTCCAGACACACCATGCTGTATACCACATCTTCGTCTGCGAGGCATCTGACCGTCGGTATTATTCGACTGAGTTTCCAGCTCGCTAGCCTCGCTGTACTCTATCAAACCTCGCGACAAATCCATTAAGCTCGTTGAAGAGTTTAAAGTACGATTCGACCTCACATTGGAAGATGAATCATTGCTAGCGTCATTGTTAGTACGAAGTTTCCAACCCATTAAACAAAGCCTTGAATTGAATTCTGTTTCAACCAATATGAAATTTAATTTATATTCTTGCTTTTCTGGTTATGCATGTAACCACTACAAACTCTAAAGTGTCTCAACTTTAAAGAGATAACAATGCCGCTGTTAATTTATCAAAGCTTCTTATATGTACCCCAAGCAAATCCGGAGACATTACGTATTCGAAACTTAAATATGAAATGAGGGACTTTTTTGATTTAGGACTTGCCAAGAGTGGTCGCCATGGTAATATGTGGTATTGACGTCAGCAGCATCGAAACTATGCTCCATCAGCGCTGCGCGAAACCGTCTAACTAACTTTGACGTATTTTTTGAGACAACTTTACCGGTGGGATGTTCGAATTTTTGTCATTTTAAGGCCGAATTACGTCGCAAAATCTGGCTGAGTTTAATAGCAAGTGGCAACATGCCCACAGCGAAACTTGTCATGACGTTTATAAAACCACTTGAAGATGTAATTTGATTGTTAGGTTTATTATGTGAAACCACAATATCAACTATTGAAGCGAAAAAAATTTTGTTTGAAATTCACGCTGTGACGTTTGTAGTAATTTGTCTTCAAAAATTCTTGGTGATACTGGGGATTAGGAACAGTTTTATTGTTCCTTAAAACAACAACTCTTTTGCATTACTGTTGGCGCAGTGGTTAATATCCTTTCACCCCTATGACGTAGAGTTCATTCATGCTGTGTTCGGTTTTTCGGTCACCTGTGAGACGAATTATTCCAGCCGTGTTTGACCTGTGGCTGTGATTTGACTTTACCAGCTGGTTCAAACTTTTAGTATTAACAAACTAAGTTAGCTTAGTGTCTTTAGTTTAGGTTTCCAGCAACTGCACCAATGGTTACCTTTCCTCTAGGAAGAACAGTTTGGAACAGAAAAAGCTATCCAGCATGAATATACAGTTCGTTTGGGCAGGGTTTGGCTTTTCTCTATAACTCAACTCCAGTAATAATACTTCAATGCTTCTCAGTAGGCCCGTAACTAGCTATGAGTCAACCGACTCAGTTGACTCGGTAAGATTTTTTGTGAAGAAATTCAAAACAAGAAGGCTTCAAGTTTAGAGAAAACAGATCCTGAATGAAATTTATTAAATTTCTGATGAAGGGAAGAAGTACGAATTAGCGTCCCAAATCTGATTACCACAAACACGTTTTTTATCATGCACCTGTTCATGTTGGACCAAGAGTGCTTGAATTCTTACGATTGGATACTTGTAGTACAATTGTGAGACACACTATGAAATTATAGTCAATTGTGTCACTGTTTACGAGATTGATTTTTTCTTAAAACTGCTCCCAGAATGCAAGATGACTATGAAAGTCATTGTGTCACTGTTTATCATTACTGATTTTTTGTTGAAATTGCTCCCAGAATGCAGGAAATAGCGTTTCTAAGCCTTAGAAAATCAAACATTTTCTGGAGGAGCATGCCCCGACGACTCGACTCGGTGAATCTAAAATCCTAGTTACGGGCCCGTTCAGGGATTTTAGGACTTTGTCATGGGAAAATTTCTTAATTCTCATACAATTTTTTTGCTATAAAACTAAATATGCTATTGTTTTGAAAATGACATGACGAGACATTAAAATGTAATTTGTGGTCTAATAAGTCACTAAACGCATGCTGCGTGGTGATTAACCTATTTGGATAATGGCATTTTTCAAATAGTTTTTCAAACAAACAGGATATATGTATTTGAAAAGGCAAAAAAAATGCATACAATGTACTATCGAAGCACCAGAACTGGATTCAAAGATCTTTTTACAGCTGCATTATCATCAGAATTAAAATTTAATTTGCGGTTTAATAAGTCATTGGACATCTGTTTAATTACCTTGGGGCATATATCTTTGCGTAATTAATATTTACTGTCTAGTTTATAAATTATGTTAAAGTAGAGTTGTTAAAGTAGAGTTGTTCAGTGATATACTTGTAGAATATTTGATAATCGTTTGAGTGGGATATAACGATTTTCTTGATGCAATGTTAATTTATGTCCTTCAGAGGCTCAGAGCACTGCACAGCGTGGGAAGTGACGTAATTATGTTAAATGCTTCTCTTATAATCAGACTGTTTGACTCCAAGAGAATCACTGGAATTTTTTTCAAAATCCTATGGGAATAGTATATCTTCGTTGGAAATAGTATAGAAATTCAATTTCCATAATATGGATATAGATTATAGCATGGAAATTTTCCATACTCAAATTGTATGAATATATTAGTGAATAGTGACGCAATCGCAAATTCCCTAGCATGGATTTCACCATTCTCGTACCCAGAGCCCTTCTTACGCGCCGTGCGACGCACACCGCGCGTAAGAAGGGCTCTGGGTACGAGAATGGGATTTCACATTTTCACTATTTTTTTCCAGTGAATACATGTACAAGTAGCGAAAGGTCGTTTGAGAATTTGTCTAAAATCCACCAAATTATGGTCAAACCCTTTTACCTTTAAAAATAAGCCAAAAATACTTTTTTGTGTGCTGAAGTTTGTCTATCCTGTCACATCCCTATATTTCCTGTCGTTCATGTATGTCCCCGAATATCCCGAATTCACCCTAACCTGTTGCATTAAGCATTTTCAAAAAGAATTGAACCAAAATTTTGTCGAATTTTACTCAATCTGTGGTATTTTTCCAGTCAAAACGAAATGCCTACTGTAGTTTTATTAGATGTTTCTCTGTCTATGCTGAAAACTATTCAAGACAGTGAACAGCAAGCAGATAACAGTGCGAACAAACGTCTTTTAGCCATACGAGGGCTGTATTCGTTCTTTGACTATTTGAGCGAGAATTGTAAACTAGAGTTTACTGCTTTGATAGCTTTTTCATCTCTTTGGGAAATAGTTGTGCGTTTTACAAGGGATTACGATGCTTTGAAAGACGGCTGCATGAACGTCGACACTTATGATAAAACGTTTCTCGGCAATGCTTTAAATGGTGTATCAAATTTAGTTATCGAGGAATGGGGCTGTTCAGTACCAGTTCAATTAGTGGTCGTTACCGATGGTAACCTTGGTGGTGCAACAACTATCCACGAGGTGTTAACAAACAGGCTTGGGGATATGGCGGAGAATACATGCACAATGCCGCTACCATTTCCTTGTGTTATGCATATTGTGTGTATGTCGACGTTCGATGATACACCATCAACAACTTTAAAACTGTTACAAGACTTGGTGGAAACTTGTGGTCAAGGAGGAGGGCTGTACATGCTTGAGTCACCCGCAACAGTGCACTCATCTCAGGAGGCGTTTAAACGTCTTGCAAACGAGCATTATATCTCTTACAGCGGAACTCTGACTTGCGGACACCTTAAGTCGATGATAACCCTATACCCACCTCCAAAAACTATGCCCAAAAATCAAACACGGAATTTGACGGTAAAAGAACAAGATCAACCATTTCCTAAAGAGGTTAAGATTTGTGGTTTCTTAGACGCAATTGATCTTGGCAATCCACCATGCTTGACGAGACATCTGGTGATACCAACAGCGTCAGGTTATGGTGGAACAGATACTTCAGATGGTAATGGGAAAGAGCCATCATTTTGTGTCTTACTGCATGGTAGTTTGAAAGTCGAGAAGATGGTTGCTTTTGCACAGTTAGGGTAAGTAAGATCTGATCCAAGCTGGTCTGGGGTGCAAACTTTTAGAGGGTTTAACCATCCATAACAGTGGGGCAAGTTATGTTAAAAGTGCTGTAGATGACAATGGAATGCAGCTCAAATATGGTTGTTTTGAAAGCTTACTGGGTTCCCATCATTTGACCCAAGTCAGATCACAGAGCATGTTGACAGCCTAATAGACAATTCCCATTATAGACTAATTTTAAAACCTAGGCAAGGAGATGCAAATAAATCAGTGAAATCACAACAGCTAGAAAGAGCATACTAAAATGAGTAAATTTGCAAAGATTGGTTGCGAAATGTTGTAAAATGCGGAAAATATAGCCTTGCAAAGTTCGCAAATTTTGTATACTTTTGTATTGCATGCGACCATTTTCGGCCTAAATGTGGTAGGAATGTGGTAGGAATTTCCGCACGCAATACAAAAGTATACAAAATATGCGAACTTTGCAAGGCTATATTTTCCGTATTTTACAACATTTCGCAACCAAACTTTGCAAATGTACTAATTTTAGTATGCTCTTTCTAGCTGTGGTGATTTATTCGAGTCTCCTTACCTAGTTTTAAACAGGGTACGAATTAAGGTGTCAAAACAGCTTCGCAAAAATTTTGGTAAATAAATACTGCCTAGCTATTTCAAAACCATCCTCAGAAATACCGTATGAAAAACTAGTTACATATTATTCTGACATTGCAGAGTACAACGAAATTCCGAAATTCATTGTCTCGAACGAGTTCGAATCCCGCTTGAGACAACGAGCAACAAGCAACAAGCAATACTTAATTTGTGTGTTCACAAATAATTTTCAAAAATAATTACTAGTAACAAGGCCACCAATGTTCACAAAAAAACCCTGTTTAACCTTTATGTAAACGTTTCTCATATCTGCGTGTACCCAAGGAAGTCTAAGTAAAATCTAAACTGATTTAAATATTACTTACAATAGGAAACAATTGAATGAATAAGACCAAAAGGCCGAAATATATGTGTCGTGTTTTCATGTGAACTGTCAAAACATTCAGAAATGCGATTACATTCCTAGGCTACGCCCGTGCGCCAATTACTGGCATTTTGACAAACTGCAAACCATTTTACTTTTAGGCGTAAAGTAAACATCCGGTTTGTAGTATTTAGCCGCCCTTAATATTAACCGTGATTGATTACAGCATAAATTGGGATTGTATGACTGCAACCTGACTACAAAACAAAAATCAAAGCCTCGTCAAAACAATATAAACAGCAGACAAACAAACTAAAAGTAAAAACAGCGCGTTCGGCTCTCTCATATTCATGTTCGTTATGTTTATGCAATATATTTTCAAAATTTTCACTTCGCATTTTCCCGTTTGCCAAGCAATTTCGCTTCGCAAAAATGTACAGATGCTTCGCAAATTGCGAAGTGCGAGCCGTTAATTCGTACCCTGTTAAAATTAGTCTATAATGGGAATTGTTTATTATTTCCCCCTGAGTAAAACTGTCAGGCATTAGACTAAGTACACAGCACATTGTGACATTCATGTTCATGTTTTTCATCATTCTTGCAGTCCTAATTGGTTTGGCATGCTGTATTCCTGGGCAGACAGTAAAAAGAAGTCAAACTTAGTTTTGTCTGTCTTTTCACCGGGTGTGGAAATTCCATGGTTAGGAAACTTGAAACGACTCATGCCCTCGGCAGAGATGCAAGATAATCCATACAAGTTAGACAGAGAGGTGGAGGAGTCGCCATTCCCTGTCGAGACAAGTAGACGTCGAAGTTATCACTCGCAGGCCAGTGTCGTTTGGATCAAAGGAAGTGGTTTACAGGTAATGCCGAATTCAGGGAGGAAATATCTTCACACCATACTTTGTTTTACTCTGCTAATAGGCAGACAATTTTACCCATAAAGAAAAATATATTTATTTTTCTGGTTGTTTAGGCTGATATTCAGAAATTGATGAGATATGCCAGGAAATTACCAGAAAAGATGAATCAGTTTTACAAGGTGTGAACCTGGAATTATGACATATAGTGAATATATTTTATATAATTTGCATACATATACATTTATCTAATTTTAACCCATTATTTGGAAGTAACCCCCATTTCATTATTTTAATGGACCGGTGCATTAGATAAAAAAATTGCTATTTTTTTTAGGAGCTGAACAGGATTCGTCGAGCTGCCCTGTGCTACAGTTATTTTGAGTTATTGGAAGGCATAGCAGACATGTTAGAAAGAGAGATTGAATCATATAATGCAGACGGCATGATTCAGTTAGAACATGCAGCACGGTGCATGAGAGAGGCTGCACAACATGATCTCAACAAACTTATAACTGCCACTCAAGGATGAAATTCAACATCAGCATTGACTGCAGTTGTCGTCATCATGCCATGTATAAATGTTATAATGTATTGTAATAAGTTGTTAAATTTAATAAAAAAGACTAATTCTGTGTACCAAACATACTGATTTCTATGTACTATCCTCACTACGACGTAACCACAGAATAAGGTACACAGAAGGCCAACTTCTTGGTTTTTCCTATGATTTTGGCAAAATGGCAGATGTCCAGGGGGAGAATGCCTCTCAAACGCACACAGGCTAGGACCATGGCGTCAGCATTTTGTTGATGAATCATGGCGTGGCAGCGGTTACTCAAGTCGACCTTCTGTGTGCCTTATTCTGTGACGTAACATAAGCATTAACATAACATCAAAACATTCTTTTCCTCATGTTGTTTCTTATGCTTGCACTTTATCTCGTATTGTAGTGAGGACACAGTGAGAACAACAGAAGCATAAGAACATCAAAGAGTTCTGCCTGGTTGTCATTGTGCTTTATAATTTAATATGCTTGTGCTGTAGTGAGGACAAAGCCATGCAAGTGTTACTCTGGAGCAAACCCAGGGCTTGAAATAACAGCTGATCACCGAGCGGCAAGAAATTGCTTATGATCGGCAGAAAAGCAGGGTTTCCAACCTGAAAAAGCAGGGAAAGTCATGACTGCCGATCACCATGATCGGGAACTTTGAGAACGTTAGTTCAAGCCCTGCAAACCTGAACTTATATTTGTACTGGATAGCCTCTATCAGTTCTCCCATTCCTTTTTGGACAGGAGAAACCCTGCAGTGTTTGGAGAAGGAGGTGAAACTATAATCACACACAATTGCAGGAATACAGGCACGTGCACTAACCCAGCCTGTTCTCATGACATGGACTTAAAATTTTGCAAGTATCAGTAAAATGCTTCCATGCCCAATTCAGCTGTATATCATTAATTAATAATGTTTTTATTACTCATAGAAGTTCAGAAGTGGTAGTTTCGTCATTTTATATCATAATTGTTATTATACACTCAAGTACATGTAGTAAAACATATTTACAAGAATGTCATTCTGATATATATAATCACACAGATTCATAACTATAGCACTTTAATATATAAATGACAGGAGTATTAATGGTGTGTGAAAATTAAGTACTATAATACAGTACAGAATGAATTATTTTGGTGAAGATGTAGGCCAATACATGAAGGCCCCAGTTTCATGATACCAGATTCACTTGTCATACAAAAGTCCTGTTCAAACAGAGCCAACAATGTTGAAATATTTGGTTTAATAAATTTTCAAATCTTTTTGCAAAGATTTTGTAATAGTATAACACATTTTGAAAATTGTTGGAAAATGTCTGCTCACAAAATCCCCTCCCCTGATAGTTACTATCAGTGTACAGGAATTATTGATACTACTAAATTCATTGTTGTGACAAGTAATATCATGCAACTGGGGACCTGAATAAGCTCTTTATCAATCATCATGACATTGAATAAATATTTTTGTCAAAATTGTGTAGTTTACAAAAAAAGAGGAACAAATATAAAATGCTGAGGAATTTTTTCTCCATGTTGAGATATTGGCTTTTGATATGATATGAAACAATAATCATGAGAGCTTGTGTCCTATTCACATATGCCAACAGACAGCTCTCTGCCATGGTTATTGTTAAACTAAGAACAATGAAGAATGTATGAATTCTTTCATTGCAACTATTCACTGCAAGAACTATTCTAATTACCATATCTAGTAATTCTAGAATAAAAATGAGTTAATGTGTTACACAAACAATATATACTAATTCACTATTTCCTGTTGCAAAAATTTCTTAAGGCGTTCTAAATACTGTCCATATAACTCCACGTCGTTATGTCCGGCACCTTCTACCCACAGCGGGTCGACCTTACGAGGACATCTTTCGTAAATGGCTAGACCATGTGAAAAGTCAATAACCTCATCTTCTGTGCCATGTATAACTAATACGGGTGAGACGATCTTCGAGACTTTTTCAATGCTACAAACACAAGGGAAAGAAATTAACACATTACATGTAACATACTCTCATTATTTCCAGTCACTCTGTCTAATGGCAGATGAATTTACATTCCAGAAGAGTAAATTGTTAAGGTCCGTTTACACTCGCAATTTTTGCTGCGATTTTCTTCTTCTGGTGCATGTATACGAGTGGATAAGTTTTTAATGTTCTGAGTATATGTTCCCGCATCTGAACATTCATAATTCATCCACTCATTCACATTTATCAGAAGAGGAAAATCGCACTGGAAATCACAGCAAAAATTGCGAGTGTAAACAGGTCTTTGGGTTTTCATGGGTTAACCTGTCTATCTGCCTGTGATTGAGATGCACCAAATATGCCCTACTTTGTTATTTTGCAATGAGTTATTCAAGAAAGGATCCCCATTTCCCCCTATGGACGAAATCTACTTCTAATAGTAGTAAATGTACTAGGGGATCCAAAGGTGGTAGGGGGGCTTAACTTGCAAATTCCTCTGTGACCTGGGGGTGGTGTGGACGTTCTCTGGAATGACTCAAATGCCAGGAACGGCAAGAACACCAGGAACGGCAAGAACGCTACGAACCCTGGGAACTGTATAATATATGCATGCATAATTATTATAAATATACATAGTTATGACCCGCAACACAACGACATAACCCTATTTTACTGCTCAAGGAAAAAAGTGTTGGGTGTTGTTGTACTCAGTCTTACAAATGACAACATGCAAGTATCAAAAGGCATCAGATAGAAAGTAACAATTAGGGATCAATTGGATCATACATTTATATCATAAATCCAAAATCCTAACATCTCATTATATTAGATATTTTGCAACTTATTAAATATGCATATACTATAAATACTGGGTGTATATAAATAAGGGAATATCATGTTATCCTGTATTGTTACTATAACAAAGATGGGTATAATATCAAATGATATTTACCTGGGAAAAGCATCACAGCACCATGTCCGTTTAGTATCGGGAAATGCAACACGCATTCCTGAAGTTAGCGGTGAATGCAAGATAACTGCTGCACACTCAAACTTGGATGCTAGATCAATAGTAGGTACCGTCCCAATACTTTGCCCATAAAGGACAATACTTTCAGGACTAAGGTTATATTTCAACCTAGCAGCTTGCCAAGCAGCTTCTATATCTGCATACAGATTACCTTCTGAAGGGCTGCCACTACTCTCCCCGTATCCAGAATAATCGTATGATAGAATATTACAGTTTATTCTTTGACCAAGCCCAATGTAGAAACTAGACATTTGACCTAGGTCGACCGCATTTCCGTGGCTAAAAAGCAAGGTAAATCGGGCGCTAGGCGACGTTTTTACATACATACAACAGATATTATTCCCCTGCTTTGATTTCGTTTTAAAAACTTCTATGTTGTCCAGTTCGTTCTGGCTAAACTGCCATTCTGCGCGCTCGGTGAGGTGAAGTGAAAAGTTGCCATCTTCATGAGTCGTGACACTGTATGTCGGTTCGGGCGGCAAGAATGCCAACTTCGCTGCGATTTTCGAAGGACATGGAGGGCAGCAAAATAAGCAGCAGATCTCCGAGAAGGATAAACCATTCATTTGGTAAGCTTTGACACAAATCCGGGCGTTTTTAGTGTAATTTTTGCCAGGTTATTTCATGTTTAAAAGGAAAAAAATTCAACACACTTGAAGAATCGCAATTTTTAACTGCTGACACAAGATTCGGAACCAATCCCCCTCCTACGTGTTTGATGACGATACCGGAAATGACGTCACACGTTAGCCTTTTGTTTCACGCACGCAAAATTACCACGTAAGTCACGTAATCTCTTCATCTCACGCACGAAACGACAGTTTGTGAAGAAAATGTCAATACCCGAATTAATACTCTATATATGACTTAATTATTTTTGGGATTCGTAACCCGTATCTTCGCCAGTGCATCTTTATCTTTACCTTAAAATTTTTCAAATTGGGTGAAAGCTTATTATTGTCAATTTATTCATGAATAATGATATCTTGTTCTCTCACAGACCGAACCCTCAGTTGTACCCGGGGTTACCAACCCTGGATACCAGCCCTGGATACGAGGTTGCTCAGACTCACTCCCCACGAAACTTGTATAGACAACGAGACTTTATTATCAAGTAACCAAGAGCATTTTTGTGGCATAGACATTCATGGCTGTGGAACCACATCAGAGATTCGTTATTATGGTTGTATTAAATACGTTATTCCTACACATTCTGATTCTACATTATATACCATTACTGTCATTTGAGTTTCACTCACTTGTCATACCACATCTTCAACTACACTAAGAAGTTCCACACTGACATGCAAATTCTACTCACAACTCCACATCTGAGACATCCAGATCAGAACTCAATTCCTTGAGCCAAAGGCAGGTCATCGCTGTAGTTTATCGTGCTAACAAATGACAGTTAAACTGTGTAAGCTGTTGTTTAAGTTTCAAGTGAATATCTTTGTAAAAAGACTATGTTACCATGTTGATCGCTTCATGTAACCTTTCCAAGCGTCACTTCCAGATTCTCTTCCACCTCCAGTGGCTTTTTCACCACCTTGAAAATGAAACGTACACAACACCAATAAGAGATGGATCTTACTGAACTGCTATAAAGCTTCCAGTCAAGAATCCAGTGTAAATCAAGCTTCCAGTGTAAATAAAGTTAGTTTAGTTGAAGTTTCCATCAAGGTGACACTGGAACAACATAGCAGGCATGGTTAAGATGGAACGGATATAGAGCTATCTAGTATAAATTGACATGAGTCTGTATCAGCTAACCTAGTATACAACTGAAAGATACACCAAAGATTACATGTCTGATATCTTACCGAAAGCTCCTCCAATTTCAGCGCCGTTTGTTGGGATATTCACATTAACAATACCACAATCTGAACCAAATGGCCTGCCAAGAGACAGCATGTAACTAGCAAACGTCTTCAATTTCGCATAAGGAGAACTATTTGGATAAATTCTGCCTACTTTTTTTCAAGGATATTTCAACCATTTTGTAAATCGGTGGTAACTTACCCCAACCATTGGAAGATCTTTCCCACATCTTTAGTGAAGACACTGCTGGTCAATCCTTGGTCCACCTCATTATTCCACTGCACTGCTTCTTCAAGATTCTTGATAAAGAAAAGTGTACCTGTTAGTGCCTGTTAGCATTACTCAATGTCCTAAAATGTTCTGCCAGTTGCGCCAGGTTGAAAATTTTCTGGTATCCTAGATGCTAGGATCCACCCATCCTCGTACCCAGGGTGGAAAGTCCCTGCGACGGAAGTTGGGATCCACCATTATTTCCTGGTATGGTCAAGAGTAGGGTAATATTACTGGGTTGGTTGATTACCCTGTTTTGACTTGGTGGACCATGAGGCCATAGAGATGGCCATAAGGCAGAATCTCCTTGGGAGGCTACACGCGGATTGGTTTAACTATGCACGTGATTCATATATGATACGTTCAACCCACCTTCGTTTTAAGAACGTATAAGATTGGCGCGAACGTTTCTCTGAGGACTACATCTGAATCATGTGCTAAACCAGTCACGATCGTGGGCTCAACATAGTAACCAGGCCTGTCCAGCACCTACAGAGACGATTAAATAATTTTAACAAATCCAGTATATATACAGTTATTAGTGAACAGTAGCCAGTTAGGTTCGTTTTTGTAGTAACAACTGCACCAGTAAGAGATGACCTTTTCTGGACTCCTAAGAAGAACAATTTACACGCGTAAAAACGCACAGCTTGTAACAAGTCTGCAAACAAGTTGTTACAAGTCTGTTCACAAGCTGTCAACAAGTTGTGTTCGCACTGCCTGTTCCCAGTTTGTTGTAACAAGTTTGAAACAAGCTGTTAACAACTTGTAACAAGCTTGATGGCATTATCATGTTACAAGACTGCGCTAACAAGTCTGTTACAGCCACGATACAACAAGGATGTTTCAAGGTTGTCAACACAAGATTGAAACAATCTTGTTATATCAAGCATGCAACGGACTTGTCAGAACAACCTTGCAACAAGTGTGATAATTTCGACAAGGTTGTTCCAAACCTGTTGACAACTTGTGACAAGCAGTGCGAACACATCTTGTTGACGGCTTGTTGGCAGACTTGTTACAAGATGTGAGATTTTTGCGTGTGTAGAACTAACAGAGCTGTCCAGTATAAATAAAGTTAGTTTGAAAATGTCATTCACCTTTCCACCAACGGTTATTACTAAGTGTCCAGTATAAATAAAGTTAGTTTGAAAATGTCATTCACCTTTCCACCAACGGTTATTTTTCCTCCGCTCGCATTCACATCCTCCAGTGTTGTTTTGAACAGTTCAACCGCTTTCTCGTTGTGGACTGGACCACATAATATACTCTCTGAGAAGATCAACAAATGATGCATTTTTGTATAAAAACTCTACAATACAGGTTCCCAATAACATTTACTGAGAAATACAGTATACATAATTTTAATATGTGAAATACATAATTTTATAAATTTATTCGAAATATCGACTTACGATCAAGGGGATCTCCAATTTTGATTTGTTTGTAAGCATTTGATATTCTCTCAAGGACTTCGTCATAGATTTTCTCATGAAGTATCTAGGGCAAATTTTTGGTATGAGTTTGAACACTATATATATACAAACAAAGAACCTAAACCTTTTGGGGTATTTATCGTAACAGAAACTGTTTGTATTAGATCAATGCGGTTAATTATGAAATTAATAACTTTTCAAATAGTAAAACAACTTTGGAAATCATGGACCAGGCACCGAAGAAATTTTTTTGAGTTATGTTTCATATTGTCAAAATTGAGTGTCCACTAATTTGCTCAAACCCAATTGGTCGGAAATTTTCATATATCAAGCCGGAAACAGAGTTCTGGCTTTTGAAAACGGAGTTTTGGCATTTGAAAAGGTAGTTCCGGCATTTGAAAACGGAGTTTTGGCATTCGAAAAGGGAGTTCTGGCATTTGAAAACGGAGTTCTGGCATTTGAAAACGGAGTTTGGCCATTTGAAAACGGAGTAACTCAGTTCTGGCATTTGAAAACGAAGTTTTGCCATTTGGAAACGGAGTTCTGGCTTTTGAAAACGGCGTTTTGGAGTTCCAGCATTTGAAAACGAAGTTCTGGCATTTGAAAACGGAGATCTGACAAATGGAGAGGCAAACAAACAGACAGATAGGCCCCGGTGGACATAGAGTAATGTGTTTTATCTCAAACAATATTCACTACACAAACTGGAGAACTAACCAGTCGTCTGGTAGTAGTACATCTCTGCCCTGCTGTTCCAATACACGCAAATACCACGGCGGGAACAACCAGGTTAAGATCAGCATCGTCCATAACTAGGAATATAAACATTACCCAAATTTTGCATCTTTCGAACTTTTCTGAATTGAAACGTCTAGTTTATATTCATGTACAAGCATAGCGAACCAGAAAAGTGTTAGATATTCAGTTAGTATATCATATTTTACAAAAATAGCACTTCAAAATGTAAGCAAAGCGTTTGTCTACTTTACGGACTTTACAGCATCTTTAAAGTCCGAACACAATTCAAAACAGAAAGGTTCAGATTTGACTTTTACTACCAATACCGTTACCATTAAGGGATCATTAACCAATTAGATGCGTTTGATATATCCCATCAACCAATCAGATGCGTTTGATATACCCGATTAACCAATCAGATACGTTTGATATATCCGATTAACCAATCAGATACGTTTGATATATCCGATTAACCAATCAGATGCGTACTAAGCCAGTGAAAGGTAGCGGTAGTAGAAATCAAATCTGGACCTCTCCGATATTTATATAACGTAGGTCAAGATATTCAACCATGTTGCAAGCATTACATATTTACCAATAATTGCATTGTTTCCTCCGAGTTCAAGAATATCTCGCCCTAAAAAAGAAAATAATAAATGTTTAGTTTACAAACTCAAGAGTAATACAGTCAAGGCGTGAATATCTTCATGGGAATGATAATTTGGTTTACGAAATGAAGATGTACATGTTCTTACCAAACCTCTTCTGAACTTCAACACCAACCTGCTGACCAACCTATTGTAAGCATAATAAAATAAACATTGACGCACTTCTTATAGCTTCCTCAACCGGTTCTCACATTTACAATTACTAATTTACTGTCTTATACTTGGTACGCGAGACCTCGTAACTAACAAACCCAAGCTGAGGGGACCTACCGGAGTACTTCCAGTAAATGAAAGAAGATCAATGTTCTTGTCAGCGGCCATTGCTTGACTACAAAATGACGAAGAAAAATGACAGTAACACTCTTTCGATAATTACGTCATTTGGCCTGGGAGCCTCGCTCTCATGAATCGTGAGCCAATCACCTTGCGTAATTTACTAATGAGAGCGAGGCTCCAAGGCCAAAAAGTATGTGTGACGTAATTATCGAAAGGGTGTATTGAGAAGATCGTTGTCTTAAACACTATCTTGCCGATTCTCATGATTCCAGTCCGCTGCTCTACCTACAGCCGTGATAAGGTCAGTGGAGAATGATGTGAAGTTACACTCAATTTAAATGCAAGAAATCTTCTTCTGACGGCCTCAACTCTCGGACGAATATATGTTCATGATATGGTATTTCCATACGTACCCAATGTCTGTTCCTCCCTGGACAAGGGAACAAATTGCGCCAGGTAGATCGTTCTGTGCAATGACTTTGCTGATGATTCTACAGTGACAAAGACGAGAAGCATGCAAAGTCGTCGTTAAAAATGAAAAGACCATTTTCGTCAAAAGAAATTTCCCTTGCTTAATTTGTACGAAGGGAAAGTTTCTTTATAAAGAGTGTTACAGGATTCAAATATATCGTGGGACATTGATCAGTTCTGTCACTGGAGGAAATCATTCCTGTAATACAGCGGAAGATTGGCTCCAGTTTGAGTCAACCACACAGTGGTTCCTTGTGTAGTAACACTGAACGATTAAGGAATCGTATTTCTGTACTCGTTGAGCGAGCAGTTCCAACAAAACCGAGGACTTTCGATTTACTGTATGAATGAGAATAGTCTAGTTTGCATGCATATCCTTACTTTGCTATAGAAACGCTAACCAAAGGAGTTGTTGGAGCACCTTTCCTGAAAATGAACAAAAAAGTACACTTTCATTTGTCTAGTAATTTCCCTGTGAAATTAGTTCAGCCAAACAATCGTCCTGGAGAGAAATTCAAAATCCCATTTCCAGGTTACTTGAGCATCACTCTACCCATTGAGTTAACAAGTCAACAAAGCTTGTGAGCAAATGAGATTTAAATGCGAGATTTAAACTCTGAAGGTTCAGAAATGATTTGTTGGTAACACTTAGGTTAGCATTCTAAACGCAAGTAGAACGAAATTTGGGACACAATTAAAACCACAAGGAACAGAATTAGAATACAAATGGCCTCAATATGGAAAGCAAATCATTGAACATCGGAACGACGAACGAAATTCGAACACCAATGAAAGCTAAATGCAATGAATTAGGTTCTGGATGCGCGGTTTTCATGTTACGTTATTTCTTAGAAAAACAGTTAGTATTTCCATGAATTTCCGTGACAATGTTTCCGCATCATTATTGGCAAATGCAGGTAAATACCGCGTACCAAATGTTGACGTTTCCACAGACTAAACCGATGGCATTGTTCCAGCCATAAACAGCAACAGGGAAATTGAAAGCTGTTATTATACCAACCAAACCAACTGGGTTCCATTGTTCCATCAGCACGTGACCAGGACCTGAAAAAACGTGAATATATGCAGGCATGACTCAATCAATGTTATACATACATTATGAAAAATATCACATTAATGGTTCCAAAACTAGCACTGTATGTTGCAGAGGAGAATTATATCGCCTTGTTCTACATGGCTATTAAAAGCTGTTCAAATTAGTTTTTTGTTTGTGAGATAAGTCAATATTAAAGTTGCCAACCCTTCAGAGAATTTAAAATTCCAACATACTTTCCAGCAAAATTCAAGAATTTACTACTGGACAAATTTTCATGAAAAGGGCATGAATATATATCATCAGCATGCACTACATTTTACTCATAAATTCCAGGACTTTCTAGGACTTTCCATTCCTGGAATACTTACGTTCAGAAGGGAAGACACGTCCACCAAACATTCGGGATAAGCCAACAGCATAATCACAAATATCAATATATTCTTGAATTTCTCCAACACCTTCAACATAGATTTTGCCATTTTCTAAACAAAGCTAAGGGAGAAACACATAGGAAGTTTAAGCAGACCCACAATGAAACAATTAATAAAGGGGTGTGGCTAGATAGAAAATGGGGGTTATTAAAGAGGGAGTTAGAGAGGGGATTATTATAGAGAGGGGGTTATTAGAGAGAGGGTTATTAGAGAGGGGGTTATTATAGAGAGGGGGTTATTATTAGAGGGGGTTATTATAGAGAGGGGGTTATTATAGAGAGGGGGTTATTATAGAGAGGGAGTTATTATAGAGAGGAGTTATTATAGAGGGGTTATTAGAGAATGACATATATTGTTGTCCAAGTTGTGAGATATATTCTAACCAGTTTTCCAAGATTTTCCTTATGTGCTCGGAGCTCTTCGCCAATCTGTCGCACAATTTCTCCTCTGCGAGGGCCTGGAACCTAGAAAATGACCATATTACAAAAACTATATTACTGCCCAAAATAGAGCACATTGAACCCCAAAATACAGCACATTGAACCCCAGTAGAAAACAAGTAAATGACCATTTCAATAATTAGGCATCCACTGAATAGAGGCAAACAAAAATTCTTACTGTAGCCCATGTTTTCCACGCTTCTTTTGCCAATGATACACTCTCCTCATAGTCAGCTACGCTTCCCTAAAGTTATGTAGATTATATACAAAGTCAATTGAATATTTAGGAGTAATGATGGTGACTGTTCAGAATTGCTTATGGTACTTAGCAGGGAAAATTACAGGAAGGAGTATGTTGAGGGATACTTTGACACCTGGACTTTGGAGCTAAATCTCAGCCCTCAAATCTATATTTCACCCACCAAAATTTAAGGGGTGAAAAGTGCTGGGGCCTGGGAGGGAGCTGGGACTGTCCAAAGGTTAGGGTTAACTATATTTGAAAATTTATAATGTTTCGATGTTCTCAGGGTAAAGTTTAGATTATAAACCTTTTGCATCCAAACCAATAGTTTGCTGCCTATATGCAATATCTATGTTACAAACCTGTCTGACATGAGCAATAGGCCTGCCATTGATGGGGGAGAAAGAAGTCACTGACTAAAAAAATCATAAAAATAACTTTAATACTAGAGACTGAGATTTCTCAACCTTTGAGAATTGTATATGACTAATATATCTTTCTCTAGTTTGTAGGTCTATAAGAAAGATGTATTTTAATGCCCGGCCTCCACGCATATGCCACAGATGAGCATGCAAAAAAAGTGACATATATATCAAACAGGTGCTGTGACTGTGTAGACTTATTTGGTGTGACAGACAAGCACAACATGGAGCCTGTCGCTAGGGGTGCACCGGAACTTGATTTTTTAGAGTTCCGGTTCCGGCCGGAACTAGTAAAAAAAGCATGGCCGGAACCAGAACTCTGTCGTTTTCAGGGAGATAGAATATCAAACGTTTTTGTGTCTAACAAAAGGTCACAGTAGGAAGAAAGTTGGACCACGGCAAGGGAAATGTACACTATTAACACTTCATTATGACGTTTAACGTTTGTCAGTCTTTTTATTCTGATATTTGTGAACTCTCTACTTGATGATTTGAAGTGTCTGCTTGTCTGGCAGCGGACAAAGTAACATATGACTATATATGGCTTAATAAATTAGTTCCGGTTCCGGCCGGAACTTTTTTCCAGTTCCGGTCGGATCCGGTTCCGGCCGGAACTTAAAAAACCGGTTCCGGTGCATCCCTACCTGTCGCACCATGTAATGTTGGTAATAGCCCCCAAGGTTTGCCAAATCCAAAATTACTTTTAGAATTGTATAATATGGGGTTCACTGGACCACACATTTAAGATTCGGAGACTGGGTCCAAGAAAGAGTCCAAAATTTCTCATTTGAATTAGAGGTGATTCATGTATATTATCACAATTATCAACATTTTGACAAGCATATATTCCATATGTGCTGGGGGGAGGGAGGTGGTCTTGACCAATATACACTTTTAACTTTTTAACATGTTGAACTATAGACCTATCATCATCATTACTAGGTGGGGGAGGGGGGGGGGGTTTCTAAAAAAGAGTACTCATAATTATGGATGACCCCTTAATACACAAACTATAGATGCATTCAAATGCATTTTAATATGCATTTGAAAGCAGCCAACAATGAAGCTTATTTCCCAGAGCCCCAGACCATAATAATTACACCCACTCCCCCTCCCCCCGCTACAGACCTCCCCACTGCCTTTCCAGATCCCGTTATAAACTCCATCATTTTCAGCTTTTAAGCCCAACTCTTTCAACCAAGAAAATTCAGGCTCGTCTATTAACAAGTTACCACCATTGGAATACGCACACTTGCTTAGAAATCCTAAATTTGACTTGGGAAATGTGAACAGTTTCTTTGAAAAAGCTCTAAGCATGGCCATGTTTGTTGTGTTTCGCGTGGAAAGAAGATCGAACACGCGTGGGATCAAAGAATTCCTTGACTGGAGGCTCTGTAATTCCTCAAAATTTCCTACAAATTCCTTAGTTACTTTATGCTAAAACTATGCAAAATGCCTGTTTTTAAGGATCAATAACAACCAAGGAATACGCGTGGCTGTGCGCGTGGGGGCGTTCTATAGGCGTGTAATATGCAAAACAAAAATTAAACTTACTAGGGGTAGATTAGGTAGTCAAAATTAAAGACGCTTATACAGATTGTATTTTGTATAGAAGTATTACGTGTAATTATAGTATTTCATTCAAGTACAATAAATCCTACCAAAATACAACATTTTTTGAATCAATTAAGTATTCAAACTTTGAAAATAGTTGGTATTGAAATTTGAGGTACCCCTCCTAGGTAGGAATTAAAGAAATGAGCTATAAATAGAGCGTTTTGCAAATTGGCACAGTCAGGCACAATTGAACCGTTCAACGTGTCATACAGTAAGTCAGTCACAACAAACTGGTTTGAAAATCATAACTTGTTCTCGTAAGAGGTTGCTATAGGAAGCTAGGTTTGTGTAGAATTTCTTAAGCATAATTTTTATAATGATTTTGTTTAATGACTATCAAAACGGGCTTTATATGCATGGTGTATTGGTATATATTTGTGACATTTGTTTGCAAGTTATGTAACTACACAGTGTGTAAAATGTATCATTTGTCAAAATATTAATGCCAGATTTTTCTATTGAAATAAATATGGTACAATAAAAATTTATCTCTGATATTGTGATATATGAATTAAAATCTTATATACCTAATTTTTAACCCATTAAGCTGCAATGTGTCCCAATGCACCCTTTGATCATTGATATTTTACTATGACTAATCATGGGTTAGACATGGTAAAATAATACTTGCCCTTGTCTAAATTAGTAAGTGTTAATCTGCCCTATTCTTTTCACTCCGTCTAATGCCAGATGATTTTACTTGTGAGGGGAAATTGATGCCAATGAGTTTGTTTGTATATGCTTGTGAGATTCTACCACAAACTATAGACATGACAGTTTTGTGTTAATTTTTAGTATTCATAGATCAAGATGGTTGATTCAAATTGTATGACACTGACTAGATTTGTCCTCAATGAACAACGCAGTCATCCTGAAGCCTCAGGAGATCTCACTCAACTTCTGAATGCCCTCATGACTGCAATCAAAGCTGTGTCTACTGCTGTCAGGAAAGCTGGTATTGCTAAACTGTAAGCTATTGAAGGTGGTGATTATTAGAGAGGTTCAGATTTCACTACCATTACGTAACCAATCAGATGTGTTTAATCTACCCAGTTAACCAATCAGAAGTGTATTAAGTATTTAGTGAGAGGCAGTGCATGGTAGTTAAACCTGAACATCTTTATTGTAATTATGCGTGATTTTTCTTTTTTCTAACAAACAACTTCCGGCCAACAAGTTGTAAGGGTTATAAGTTACAACTTTAATACCATTCTACCACCATGATGACATCACATCAGTGATGTTTTTCAAATTCTAAAAGCTGAGGAACACTAGTGAAAATTACATGGGCATGGTCACTTAGTTGGGCATGGTCACTTAATTCGGCACATATAATATATACATAGTATTACATAGTACATAGCTTTTTCTACCTGTGCAGTGTTGTTGACTACTAGGTGATCTCGTGTTCGTATTTTAGCCAATCAGCGCTCAGAAAGGGTTGTCCGAATAGAAATCCATTTTGATGTATTCAGTTAATTATATCTTTCGTTATTCTTTATGAAACTAGTTGAAATTTTGTAATTATGTTTGGTTATGAGAACTATAGCTCTGACAAAAATATGGAATCGAAATAAAGTATATTACAGGAGATATTCAGTTGTTTTAATCATAAAATGGATTTCTATTTGACAACTGGTGCCAGTACTTTTCCGCGTATCAAGATCATCTGATACTGTCTGTTCTGTCAGAGAGAATGCCGGTCCCCATGTTTGAGTTTTGTCAGAAGGGAATGCTGTTCCCCAATGAAAATAGTGGGAGGATGGTGTTCCTCCTGGGAAACATCACAACCCCACTGGGAAACATCACTACATCACATGCATTTCAATTTAGGTATGGGATATCAGGTGTAACAAACGTCCAAGGTGAAACACAACAGAAGCTGGACGTCATTGCCAATGAACTGTTTATAAACATGTTGAAGTCATCATTTCAGACATGTTTACTGGTATCTGAAGAAAATGACACGGTTATAGAGGTTGAAACAGAACAACAGGGAAAATATATTGTGTATTTTGATCCATTGGATGGTTCATCAAACATTGAATGTCTAGTTTCAATTGGTTCAATTTTTGGCATTGCAAAAAAGGTATCTAACTCATGAGAACTACATTTTGGGACTGCAAGAATATTCATTGTTACCAAGAAAGTTTTCCTGTAATTTTCAAGTTGCAGCCTCTAAAAACTAAATTACCAGTTACATATTCATGTTCCATTATTTAAGATTAAGTTACAAACTTTCATCTGATCGTATTTTTTAGCCAACTGATGGTCCGATCATGCAGAAAGATGCTTTAATCCCAGGCCGTGATTTTGTTGCTGCTGGTTATGCTTTGTATGGTAGTGCAACCATGGTTGTTCTTAGTACTGGCAATGGTGTGAATGGCTTTACCCTTGATCCGGTAAGACATTAGACCATATGTGGCTTTGACCAAGTGGTACATTGCAGTGGTGGAAAGTTGCAGCGGTCGCCCCCACCTTCACAGAAAATGACAAATTTTCGGAAATCTGACTGCTAAAAGAGGGCTAAAAACAGCCTTTCCGACTGCAAATGGGGGGTTTGTCGGAAATTTGAAAGTTTTTTCCGAAAATTTAGGAGGCTTTGCCCCCCCCCCCCACCTAAAAAAGTGAATTTCCGCCACTGGTACAGTGTACAACGTCACTTGCTCCCATACACCATGTTACATGGGGCATTTTTGCTGCAACTCGCAACAGCAATGTTAGCTATTGTATTGTATTGTATTGTATTGTTCTAACTTCTGTATTTCTTCTGTTCAGTCAATCGGAGAGTTCGTGTTAACAGACCGTAATATCAAGATCAAACCGCGTGGAAAGATTTATAGTATCAATGAAGGATATTATAAATATTTTGATCAAGAAACCAAGGATTACGTTGAGTCCGTCAAAAATCCCAAGGTATAAGCCCGAGCCATTGCGAAGAGTCAGTTCCAGTGGCAGTGTCGTCATTGGACATTTCCTCCTATACGATTAGATTTCTATAGAGTATAGCGCAAATTTACATGTGGATATATCTGATCAAATGCGCTTGCCTTTACATCAAGTATTATACAATACCTAGTTACCTACTTAGCCTCACGCGTAAAAATTGAGAAAATCAACAACTTGTTGCAAGTTGATATCGACAGGCGTGAACAATGTTGTGCGGCCCACTATATGAACAGTATTGTCAACATGTTGTTGCAGCATTGTTCAACTGTAACAACTTGGAACAACATGGTTGACAACTTGTTCATAGTTGGCCGCACAACATTGTTCACGCCTATCGATATCAACTTGCAACAACCTGTGCGTTCTTAGCCGTGTAGATTATTTTATCTTTACAACAATTGTGATCTCACCCGGAGAAACCCACGACTTTCGACATAGCGTTGACGGACACGACGCCATAGACGCCCCCACCAACCTGAAATCACCTGCTAACCGTGGCTATACAGTGTTTATAAGCATACCGGTGTTAGGTATACTACTTGTAAACACATATTAACACTGGACTAATAAGGGATTACACTTACTTGGCCTCTTGGGAGAACTAACAGTTAAAACTGTTAGAAGTATCCAGTATAAGTAAGGTTTAGCTTTAGTTGTAGGCAAGAGCTTATCTTTATTTGATTTCTAATCTCGTTGTAGGATGGCAAATCACCGTATGGTGCTCGTTATGTAGGGTCAATGGTATCCGATATGCACAGAACGCTGGTTTACGGAGGGATATTTATGTATCCCGCTAACAGCAAGAGTCCCGAAGGAAAGGTAAGTTAATGTAAGGTTGTCCCAAAGAACGCATGTGCATCGTACGCATTTTTCATTTACTGCCCATTTTCAGTTTCAAGGCTAAATCCCAGCTCAAGTTGTATGCGTTTGACAGCCAGCGACTCTGATCAACTTTGGGCTGGTTCAGATTTTATCTTGTTAATGCGAGTTTTCGCTACGCCCACGGTAATATCCAGTCGACTCTCATAAATTCTTGTGCAACTCTTGTTCTTGTTTGACCGTGGCATGACAGTTACGAAAACTCTCATGCAAACTCTCGCTTCTCAACTCTCATGCAACTCTTGTTCTGGTTTGACCGGGGCATGAGAGTTGAGAAAACTCTCATGCAAACTCTCGCTTCTCAACTCTCATCAATTCTCATGCAACAGTCTTGTTCTTGTTCGACCGGGACATGAGAGTTGAGAAAACTCTCATGCGAACTCTCGCTTCTCAACTCTCATCAACTCTCATGCAACTCTTGTTCTCGTTCGACCGGGACATGAGAGTTGAGAAAACTCTCATGCTTTCTCTCACTTTTCAACTCTCATCAACTCTCTAATTAATTAATAATAAAAAATTGAGTATTACATCCCATTCTTAGGAATCACGTGAACCTCGTACCCAGAGCTTCTGGTCTGCTCTTGCGAAAGCCCTGTGTACGAAGTTGGAATAACTTCAACTCCCATTCTCGTTTGACCGAGGCGTAACTCGTTATTTTTTTTAGCTCCGTCTGATGTACGAGTGCAACCCTATGGCGTTCATTGTGAGCCAGGCTGGAGGAATGGCGACGAATGGCAAGATTGATATTTTAGATATAGTTCCAAAAACTATCCATGAACGTGCTCCAATTGTTATTGGATCGCCTGAAGATGTCAAAGAATATTTAACTTTTGTCAAGCACTAGTTACGAGAGCTAGCAAGTTGTTATGCTTTTTTTACTATATTGATAGAGTTAATGGACTATATGGAAAATTGTGCTGTGACATTAGAAATTAACTTCTTGTAACTGAGCTAACTTGGAGGAACTATAAAGGGCCATTTCCACTGAGGAAAATTTTCCGCAGAAAGAAAATTTTGTAAAATGTGATTGGCCGACTCAAATTTTCCGTGAGAAAAAGATTTTGAAGTTGAAAATGTTCAATGATATTTTCGTAAAATTTTCTGTTCGTGGAAATTTTTCTCGAGTGGAAGTGGGCCTGGACTTATTCAAATATAGCATACATGTTCAATACTGTAACGTTTGTGAAGAAGTGGCGGTTTTGCGAGTTATGACAAGGGGATCTCGTGTTCGTATTTTAGCCAATCAGCGCTCAGAAAGGGTTGTCCGAATAGAAATCCATTTTGATGTATTCAGTCAATTATATCTTTCGTTATTCTTTATGAAACTAGTTGAAATTTTGTAATTATGTTTGGTTATGAGAACTATAGCTCTGACAAAAATTTGGAATCGAAATAAAGTATATTACAGGAGATATTCAGTTGTTTTAATCATAAAATGGATTTCTATTTGACAACTAGTGCCAGTACTTTTCCGCGTATCAAGATCACCTGGGATTGAGTGATAGTTGCATTAAAGGCCTGTTTACACTTTCTGCAATTTCTGCTGCGATCTTCTTCTGATGGATGTGAACGAGTGGATGAGTTACAATGTTCAGGGTACATCAGTGTATGCATCGGTACATTAGCGTACATGAGTGACATACACTTGTATTATTTTTCTTGCAACTTGCAAATCTTGCAATGCAATTCTACTCTTGACTCTTGAGAGATGTTAATTAGTGAAATCAGTGAAGAATTTTCGATATGTTGAGAAAACATCAGTGGAGTGTAATGAAGACTCGTATTTGGCGATTTTACATCTCTCAAGAGTAGAATTGCATTGCAAGTTGCACGAAAAATTGCACCGTGTAACATGGCCTTTATTTACTCGTTCACATGTCATGCATCAGAAGACGAAAATAGCACTTGGAATCACAGCAAAACTTGCATGTGTAAACTGGCCTTTACTCCTTTAGTCTTCTTAGCAATGTTGTACTGCGCAAAATTATGTCGTATTTGTATAAAAGTTAAAAATACCTGAAAAAATTAACTTGTTCAAACTGACTTGTGTATTGAGAACTTAATCAAATCGTAAATGTTTTAAAACCAAAATCAAACCCCATCCATGCTGTTGGCCTGATATGAACAGGCCTTATCTAATATTATCTACGAATAATTCAATACATACTTACACAATTTTAAAATTATCCATCAAATTCGAGGCGAATATAACTTAATGTTGTATATGGTTTCTGAGTATATTTAAATCGCTTGGCGATTTGTCTAAACTATATAGTTCAACTATATGTCTATGTATAAATTATACAGTATTTCTAAAATCACGCACGCATGGTCATTTTTCATTATTTAGTTCCTTGACCTTGTCAAGCAATTTTTCCTACTACAATATAACCTAACCTTCAGCAAATCTAAAACATGTTCTTGAATTATTATATACATAAAAAATATATTATAAATTTCTTCAAGTTAATCAACGTATTACTTTGTTCATAAAAACCTCGAAAGTATATAGAACCTAAATCTATGAATCTGTTCAAACGGGATCGGAACAGTTCTGAAAATTGCACGATTTACCTACTCATAAAAAAATTTAAAAATATTTCGGGAAAAGTTCTGAAATTCCCAGAATCCCAAATACTTCCCACAAAATTGCTAAAAATTTCTCATGTGAATAAATTATTCGTTCGGTCTCGTGTTGGAATGTCGTTTTAAAGTCCAACTAATCCCAAATATAATTTTTGGTATGCGGAATGTTTGACAGTGAAAAAGTTGATGAATTCATGCAGGTTTGTTACTACAAAGATAAATGCCATTTTTTAGAACGATTCAAATAGTACATATGACAAAAATCTTATTGGTGGTAATTTTGATCAATTTTGGTATATGTTTGGTATCTTTGGTATGGTATGTTTGAGAGCTATTAGAGAGGTTCAGATTGACCCGCACTACCGCTACCATAAAGGGTCCATTAACCAATCAGATGCGTTTGATATATCCGATTAACCAATCAGATGCGTTTGATATATCCATTTAACCAATCAGATGCGTTTGATATTTCACAATTTGAAATTCCCGGAGGAATGGTATATAATGGTTTATAATATAGCATGCCATTGAGTTATATCAACACGGCTCTTAGCCAATCAGTGTTCATAATTTACAAATGCTAGATTATAATTAACCAATCAGATGCGTTTGATATATCCATTTAACCAATCAGATGCGTACTAAGCCAGTGATAGGTAGTGGTAGTCAAATCTGAACATCATTATTTTACCTTGCGCGCCATCTCAGTGTAATCACGATGCTTTTTCTAAGTCCTTGTGGTATTTATAAAATTCTCTGAAATCATCACTCCCCCATCTTTCCCAGACGCAGACCTGATATTTCTCACTCCTTGCTTCATCCTCCTCGACAGCTGCGGCTGCTGGTATGGTTCCAGGATGCGATCGCAAAAACTGATGAATTGGTGACTTCAATGTGACAAACGATCGTTTGGCAGGCACCGTTCTGCTCGCTCGTTCCTTACTCGGGCCACGCTCGCGAAATAATCGAGAACAACTGACAACCTTATCGCCACCGACGCGTATCATGGTGTGGACACCTTTATTTGCATGTCCACGTTCAGTGCCCAAAGTTAAAACTGCGTGTACTAGACCATATTCCCGACTCTCTACTTCACCAGATATATCGATAATGACAATATCTCCCGTTTCTCGCCCCACCCATAAATTACCGTCTACTATTAAGGCACAAGTAATACGACGGTCAGTGTTATTCATAACCTGAAATAAAATTATTTGTGAAACTTATTACTCATTCATGAAGAAAACACAAAAGAAATCATGAGCGTGAAGGAGTTTGTATATCTGACATGCAGCATCATGTTGAGATAGAAAATTAATCCCAAATACCTGAGTACGAGAACGTATTGTCTGCATACTGTCCGAGCGCTGGCTGCTGAGGTCTGGGTCGGAGCCTTCACGTTGTCTGCTTCGCGATGAGTTTCTTGAACCGTCTCGTTTTAAAGAACGCATCAAAGATGGTTGCCTTTGGAAACGACGTCGGGGATATTCGTTGATATCAATGTACATTTGAGGATCTTTTGCAGTATCCAACTTGCCACGTGATTCCTCACTGGTTGTACCTATGACGTCATCATTTCCACCTTTGACGCCATCAGTAGCATCACTCCCGTCGATGTCATCAGTGACGTCACTTGTGTTGACGTCATCAGTATCGTCACTCGTGCTGACGTCATTGTCTTTCTTCAAAGTCACCAAGCGTGCGACATTTAACCCGCGTGGATCATCTTGTTCGATATGAAACTTGCAAATACATTGCCGGGTTTCGACACCCCATTGAAAAACATCCGGGGTCTTTCGATTGATTGTAAATACTGTGGGACCATTAGTCACCATTGACCGGACATTTGACCTCGGCGAAACGTACGCTCGGAACTTGTGCACAACCTCTAGGGTATCCACATTGATTATCCCCACTTTGTTACCATAGCCCACCCATAGCTCTTTCCCATCCTTCACAAAGAGAAGGCAGCAAGCAGATGTGCCTGGCTCGCCAAGTTGTATGCTGGTCATCACAGAGAAGACGGACGCTTCCTGCCGGATTTTCTCGTTTGAGTCTCTCTTGAATTGAAAACCACAGCTTGAAGACGACGGTTGACGCAACTCTGGCCGCGAGATGACCACGACACTGCCATTCGCCAGACACGCAAATATTCGTCGAACACGATCGATGGATGACTGGTATGAGGTTGAAATAAGATTGATTAAAGAATGAAGGACGAATTGGATAATTGATTAAAGAGTGATTATTCGATTAGATGCTTAAACAATGGGTAGTTTTTGTCAAAAAACTCTACTAATTGATTATATGTCTAGTACAGATTGATTATGTAGATAATCATTAATTGATTGGCGATTAATTGATCACAAGGTTAACCATTGGTTAATTAAACGGATGGATAATCAATATGACGTTCATTAGTGTACTTTTAAAATCGAGTCATTTCTTGATTGTGTGCTCTCATAAAAATTTTAAAAGTTGCTGTACTTGCTTTCAAATTTTAGCCTGTTTGCCCACAGCAACAAGTGTTGAACTTCTAGATTTGTGGCTAGCTCTGGGCAGCTGGATTTTGTATCTCAGAGGTTAGAGCGCGCAATTGCAAGACCAGGTTCACGGATTGTGCAAGTTTCCTGGTAGATTTGGCTTTTCACAACTGAAATCTGTAGCTCAATGTTCAGGGCACTGTCCTATATTTAGTATACATTTTGCGCATTGAACTGCTCCCGGTTTGGTCTTAAATATACGAAAATTAAAATTGGTATATACACGAGGCAACGCTTTGTAAAGGTAATAAAATCACACCTACATTGAAAGATCTTCTATCACCAAAATGTTCCACCTCTAGTCCCAGGACTTGAGCATTCAACTTGATGGACCAGAGAACTTTCAAGTCAGAACCAGGTTTTGCACGACCAAATACTTCGATAACGGAACCCTAACCGATCAGGAAAAATTAGAATAAGCTACGTTTATGGTATGTTGGTTTGGAATAACGTGTGTCTGGTATAGTATACTAAGGTATGGTATGGTATGGTATGGTACGGTATGGTACGGTATGGCAATGTATGGTATAGTACATGCATGGTTGGCGTGGTACGTGTATGGTATGATACATGTATGGTATGGTACATGTATGGTTGGTATGGTACGTGTATGGTACATATATGGTATGGTACATGTATGGTATGTTACAAGCATGGGTGGTATGGTACATGGAATGGTTCGCTACGCTATGATTGGGTGTCGTTTATCAAAACTTACCTCAGTTCCTAGCCAGTATCTATCGCCTACTTTGGCCAAGCAAGCCACACGTGGTCCAAGACACAGCGTTTGTGGGACTTGGTCAATTCCCGTCTTACAATCGACAACAGAATAATATCTCTCGTTGTCTTCACCACCCCACAGCAATACTGAATGACTCCCCTTCATTTGCTCTGCCTCGTTCAGAACTACAAAAATAAACATAACGTCTGAACTTCACTTCTGTGTCATTGAAGATTCTCTCGACAACATTTGAGTTCTGTTAACCAGCATTTGAACTTACTGGAAGACGGATTACTCACAAAAAAACGACAATACATTCACCAGTTACCATTTTGTGAAAAAAACATGATCGCAATGTTTGCATGAAAGTTGCTGTTTAATTTAATACTTAATTATATTTGTAGTACATTTAGCCTGTCGAGATCTTCTCGACAACATTTCAGTCCCTTTAACCGGTGTTAGAACTGTTGTTTCGCTCGCTACTCTGGTTTAAATGACGTCACCTGCCAATGAGATGCATGTGCCTATTTGCCAGAGGAATTTTGCAACTTTAGATCACCCCTGATGAAGACACTAGACTGGAGTGTCGAAACGTTGGGTCTTAATTACAATTCGACTGGGCTTTGTAATCATTTATTTAAACCAGAGTAGCGAACAAAACAAGATCTTAAGTATGATGTTTGTGATGTTACTCTGAGTGTATATCCACACCGGACAAGCTTGAAAAATATGCCTGGCCACGGTGGTTCGTTTCCCACCGTGGACAGGCATATTTTTCAAGCTTGTCCGGTGTGGATATACACTCAGAGTAACATCACAAACATCATATTCGCCTGAGTACATTACACCAACACAGAAAAAGTAAGATCTGAAGTAGTTCGACTGTACCTTGGTCCTCGTCTGAGAGAGGCACAAACGCAGTAATACTGTTCCATATCTCCTGGTCAACATACGGCATTGCTCGATGCAAACAGAGAAACGATGGATCTTCCATCAAGTTCAGGACTGCCTCAGATGACGGCCTGCTCGCCGCGGACTCCTTCCAACATTTAGTCATTAATGTTTCGAGTTCAGGCATCTCTGGGTCGAGATAACTACGCTGAAGGGATGGTCTCTCACCCCGACGTAAAGCTTTCTTAATCTGAGCTGAACATCGACATTCATGGAAAGGTCGTAGCCCAGAGAGGATTTCGTATATCAGCATTGCAAATGAGAAGATATCAACCTAAGGAATATAATGGTTGCCATATTAATTAACTTCCTCAAAGTAGATGATTATATGTTTAAATCTCTAATCCTTCAATCTTATTCTTAATCCCTAATCTTACTTAAACCCCGACTCATGTGACGTCATTCTGAAGCCTTTGCCAAAATAGGAAGCTTTGCCTAGGAAAGATTGTTTCCTTAGCAATGTTTCTTGATGGTGGGCAAATCCGAAAAATCTGTTACGGAAACAAAGTTGTTTCCCAAAGACGGGCAAACTAGGAAATACTATTTTCTAGTCATGTTTCCCAAAGATAGGCAAACCAAGAAACAATGTTTCATGCCTTATTCGTCCAGTGTTAATATATACTACAATACAAAAAATTCGATAGCTTTTCGCTTGCTTTTATACGGAACGGATATCAGACAGATTTCAGGGTCCAAAATAAGCACTTCTTTATAAACTCAAGGACTGTCTTGAATTTTTGTTTCCAAATTCAAAGCCTTTCAAGGATTTTCAAGTTTTGTATGAACCCTGGTTTGAGTGCTTTGTTATACTATACATACTTTTTCGTTATATGTTGATCCAGCGCGTACTTCAGGGGCCTGGAACCCAGGTGTTCCTTCCTCTCCCAGCATTCCTTGCGGTGTTGCAAATTTTGAAATACCATAATCTGATAGCTTCACGTGAACAAGGGCATCTTTCTCAAGCGTCCAGACGAGAAGGTTATCGGATTTTAAATCCCGGTAAATGATCCCCAGATCATGAAGATAATGCAACGCATGCGCAACCTAAAACATAACATGAAGTACTAGCGTTAAAATCTCGCAGCTTGTCAACATGTTGTGTTCGCACTGCTTGTCCCCAGTTGTTGACATATCTGGAACAAGTTGTTATCATCTTGTAACAAGGTTGATCAGACCAACAGACTCGCAACAAGTTGTTCCGAGTTTGATATTGTCTGTACGTAACAATCTCGTTCCCCGAGCCTGCGATCCTCGAGAAGGAACGCGAGGCTCTGGGATAATCCGTTTCAGGGAGGAATCTGATTGGCCGTTGAAGTGGAATGCGTAGTTCAATCTTAGCCAGAATTCCTGGCTTCCGGCAACGGATTACCCAGAGCCTCGCGTTCTTTCCCGAGGATCGCAGGCTCGGAGAACGAGATTGGTACGTAACAATCTGTCAACAAGTTGATGACAACAAGCTCGTAGCAACTTGTTACGAACAGTCTGTATTAGTCTTGTTGAAACAACTTGTAGCAAGTTTGTTACCGTCTTTACCCTTGTAACAAGGTGATAACAACTTGTTCCAGACTTGTCACAACAACTGGGAACAAGTATTGAGAACACATCCTGATATCGGCTTCACAACAACCTTGATACAACTTGTTTGCAGATCTGAAACAACTTGTGCGATTCCACGTGTGTTCTAGTCCAGCGGATATGCACAGATATTTGAGAAAATCATGCACTTTGTGAAGAAAGCATCAAATTCACAGGAAGTGTAGACTTTAACATGATAATGAATCTTAGATATGGAGGCATCACCAAAATTGATGCTGACGGCTTAAAATTTAGGATTTCTTATATTCTCTTATTAATCTCTTATACAATTAAAAATTGTAAAATTGCAGGTTCACATATAGCAAAAATGACATGCGTCATTACAAAGCTTACAACTTTGATTTTCCAACTCCTCTGGAGTTATGAGCGGTTGAAAATATGTTTTAGGGCTA